ATTCATAGCACCAAGTACACTTGTGATTTGTTGCTCCCACAATACATAATCATTCCATACATCAAATTTTTCCATCTCAAAGCATGAAATTCTTACTCATCGCTATAGTTCTTTTTTGCTCATAAAACGTAAACTAAATTCGATTAATAGTGTCTTTTTTTTCCCCTGATGCACTTGAATTGCTTTCTAGAGCGCTCAAACCTCTCATTACTCAAGAAATTCAGAAAAATCTCGTCTACAATTCCAACACTTAACCAAAAGATGTTCATAAAATGAAAATTCTCAAAATTCACATTTGAGACCACATCACATAGCTCACAAGGTTACCCATAGAAATGTGAAAACAATTTATCAAAATCAACCTGCGAGTAAAAATTTATGAATACCAAACTGGAGTGGAATAAAACTTAAATTTAGACCCTTGAGGTAATCTTGAGGATCAAAGATTCAGGGGTTGTTTATTTAAAAAACCTTTTTTGAAAATGAAATCAAATTAGCACACATCTCTGATTTGAATCGCACAATCGACAAGCGAATCTCCCATCGAAGCGACAAAGAAGTCATTTCATCCTCTATCTCACGATTATACAAGTTTGATGTTCAGCTGTCTAGAGAGTTTTTAAAATCAATTCATCACAATGATGAATATCAGTTCCCTGATTTCGAAATCCTGAAATGCCTTCTCTTCCCTCATCGGAACTGATTCCCTGATCCCAAAATTCAACTCTGTGTATAATTCAGTGAATTTGGCTCTTTTTGGCTCTTACAATCCTTGTCCGTCTTCTTCGTGACCCAAAGCTCCACTTCCGTTGCTCCAAAAAATCTCGCCTTTCGGATGGATTCTTTGCTTTCCAGAAGAAGTAAAAATGCCTCTCAGATGTGCAAAGAATTGAAGCAATTTCGGGAGCTGTCAATGGCAAATATGGTCGGTCGCTTCATACATCAATTGAAATGCAGTACCTTTAACACTGTGAAAATATTCAGGGCCGACTAAGGGACTGTATCTTGGACATCTGATTGGAGAGCCATGTGAGACCTCAACATTCAATTCCCTCGCGACTGCAAGAGATCTCATAGGGAAACTACTCATAACTACCGTTCTTCGCTCACGAGTGAAATAACATGTTTACATGTACTAAGTCATCAGTTTGAAAGGTAATTGACTCACATCCCTCTCGGCGGCAGTCTCTTCTTGATTTCCGCCTCTTTATGAACAAAATTTCAAAACGATGACCAATTGCACTTCATTTTTTTGTTCAGCGCTGCTTCTTTCAAGTTCTCAGAGAATTCAATCTGTTCACTACACCGCACAGCAGTATAACCTCCTTCCGCAAACCGAATGAACCAAATCAAATCAAGCTTCGAACTGCTTCTTCCCTCTTTCCGTGGAAGATTACCGACCGAAATCCAACACTTTTTTCAGTATTTCTGTCACTGACGGCCCTAGACCCTCATCCATGATCAACGCTCCCAGTCGATCACTAAACTTCAAATCTCTAGTCGAGACCCACTCGGCCAGTCGCTGCTAGTCCAATCAGTCCGCCTCAATTCCTCTCATCAACATCATGCCCACGACCACGACGATTCCAACTCACTCGAATTTCATGAGCCTTTCTAAAACCTCCGAATGAGAATTCAATCACATGTGCCTACAGTAAGTATTGCATACGCCCACAATTTAGTTTTCTCTAAAACCTACTCTATACAGACCACAAAGGCTTTGAAACTCTAGTATATCGACGAAATCAAATTGAACTTTTGATGAAATCAAATTGGACATTTGACAAAAAAACCCTCAACGTCGAATTTCAACAAAAAAAGTTTTGACTGGAAAATATCCTCACAAAATCGGCACCAATCCGCACAGGAAAGAATCAAAACCTGAAATTATAAATTCAAAACCGACTCGAAGCAAATGCAATCTGAAAACCACCAAACTTGAAGCGATAGCAATGATCGCAAAATGCGACGAAAACGAGTTCTTCAAGTGAAAATAAATGCGATTTTGCCCATTGAAAAATGTGTGAGTCTTAACTACCCCACCGCCAATAAAACCGTCACAAACATAAGTCGAGACTAACCCAATCCAAAGAGACTCCAGGTCGACACTTACGGGCAGTCGCACAGCTCCCAACGGTAACACTCGAAGAATTGATGTTCTTTGAGTCGCCGTCGACAATATAAACCTCAGAAGTGAAACTCTATGCCAACTGCTATTTTTAGTAAGAACCAAAAGTACATGACATTTGAGACCACCTCGCATGGCCCACAAGATTACGCATAAAAATGTGAAAACGATTTATCAAAATCAACCGCGAGTAAAAAGTTATGAATCCCAAACTGGAGGGGAATAAAAACTTGAATTTAAACCCTCGAGGTAATCTTTAGGATCAAAAATTCAGGGGTTGTTCATTTTCAAAACATTTTTTTGCATCAAGTGATCAACTTGACAATCATCTTGCAAAATTTGAGCTCAAACGGAGGTAGTTTGCCTGATCAAAACTTCCAAAATTGCCAAAAATCAAGCTTATTGTTTTATTATTTTTTGGCCGAGATTCTTCACACGAAGTGTTTCGCCGTGTGGAGTTGCTCGTCATACTTTGTTTTGCACTACCTAATTTGAATGACCCGACGTCTTGTCAAAGTCATCCTGATCAGACTCTGACTCCCCTATTGGACAGAATTTTCTTGATTTCACAACTCGCCATAGATAACGCGTCGCCGTTCATCATACTGTCATCATAGCTAAGCTCAACCCCAAACTTCAAACTTTCATAACTTTGCGAGCGCTAAACAAAATTCAAGAAATTTTAGGGCAAAACAATAATCTCAGTAAGACGGTCAAACCTATGTTTACAAGAGCAGATGATAAAGTGATGAAAAAATTCAAATTCTAAGAATTCAAAACGATTTCTTTGACAACTGAATGTATATATCTTTTGTGCATTAGATTCAAAAAATCTCTGGAATCACTCGATGAAACGATCGTATTGTTTCATAAAAATATGAAATGTGCCTCTAGTTTCACTTCCATAGAGTTCCAACCAACAGTCTACTCCAGATCGAGAGTAGAAAATTTGACAGCGCTTTGACGCTCCCTTATCTTAGAAAAAACTGTGGACATCAAAAAGTGTTCATCCTAGAATTAAGTATCTCAAACTCAATTAAAGTCCAAGCCTAATTGCGGTAAACAAAACACGGGTTAACCTTACAGTTTATAGCTCTATATGATTCTAGAGTTCAAGAAATAAGGAGAAAAAGTTTAAAATTTTTGTTTTACTTATAGACTTTGGCTTTTTCCACTCCACTTGACGATGAAATTAATACATCTAAAAAGATCAATGAAAGATTATGTAATATATATGCTTCTGAAATGACAAGTTTTGATGTCTTCAATCTCCTTATTTGGGCACTATAAATGAATTAATAGCAATGTTTCTGTTTCCACATGAATAGCTTTAACTTGCAAAAGAAAAAAACAATGACAAACATGTCATGGTCTATCATGCACCAAACTGGGTGTACCTTGAAAAATATAAAAGTGAAACTAGCACAAAGAGAATGATAAGTACACTTGACACTCCATCTTACATCTCATTCCATTGACAAACCTACAACCACTCAACAACTCTAAGTCAGCAAAGCTCATTAGAAAAAAATCTGGAATATAAAAAGAATCCATTTTTTGTCACAAATTTCCAAATTATTTGAACTAACTTTTAATGAAACTACAGAGATAAAAGATAAGATATGAAAATATCCCAAATAACGTACATCAATTAAAGAAATATCACTCAAATAACAAAATCATAAATATTATACTAAACATTTATACAGATTGTTGAATATAAATTCCAATAGAAACCAAAGTGAGAAAGTAACACACTCTACTTTTTGTGGCAAATTATAGCCCTCTCTGAAGAACCAGTCCCGACCCTGAGCTAGTATCGTCTGTACCTCTCGCTCCCGTCCACGCCAAAGTCAATTCTTGCAGACTGTGAACTTGGTCTTGAAGATCGACAACGGAGGAGAAAAGTGATAACGTAATGTGTGAGAGTGTGAACGCAATGTTCTATGTCTGCCTCCATGATCGTCTTACTTCTCTTGCCTTTCTACTGCTTTGAAACTCGCGTCAGGATGTAATTCCCTTATTTATAATGTGAGACCTTCTTCGTGCGATAACTTTTGAGTTGTCGTTGATCTGTCTATGTCACGATATTACAAAGATACCTTAGATTTGGTCATGTATATCATGTACATGACCAAATCATGACATATACAGTATATGTCATAAAAGTCTGATAATTATCCTCACGGAGGTGGGAGGATATACCTTAATGCACCACCGGGAAGTTTTCTTGCGAAAAATAAAATATTGTACACAAGTGACAAAGGTCAGAAGTCGCCAGGCCCACTAGTTAAAATACGATTTCAGAAGGCTCGGACAAAGTTCCTCGGACTGGGTCGCGTAGTAAGCTGTAGTAACTGATCGACGAGGATACAAGAAAATGCTTAAATGCCCAATTTGATTACACCAGCTCAGGCATTCGGTTTACATGATGCGGTTGAGAGAAAACCCGGTGCAGAATGTCATTCGTACCAAACAAAAACACGTGCCCAGATCTCGTGGAGGTGTTACTGGGACCTAGAACCTGATCTCAACAATTGATTACAGTGAAAGCAGAATTGTATACTGCGCTCTGCTACCTGTCAGACTATATCCAACACAGAAACTACCATTGAGCCTGATACTACTTATTAAACAGCTCAAATGGACCGCGAGGGTTACTGGGAGTGGATTCTGGTGCTTTCCGTGCGCTATAACTTTGAATTCTTTGGTTCACTACGGCTTTGGTTTCTCGAATTTACTGTGCACTGGCCCTGGCCACTCTTTTCATGAATCGAGATTCGTGACTTAAACAATTTGGATGCTCTGTTTCATAATGAGATCCAGAAGCTTCGGGCTTTTTCTCTGTTCCCACCTTTTATACCCGAGCCTTTTGGATGAGCGTGAACGTGCATTTCAGTTGTGTCCGATCTCTTTCCTTCATGTTGCCGTATCATCTACAATTTCTCAGTTGTTCGCATCGTCCCAGCCATCTTTGTTGTCCACGACGGCGGGTCTCTGTCATGTAATTGTTTCATCCTCGCAAGGCCTCGACTATGACTCTCTTTTGAGGACTGCGACATTTTACGTTCGTATATTTCTTCCGTCTTCGTATAGGTATCGTTAGTGCAGATCTGGTGAGCTTTGCAGCTTCCGAAGTAGATGTTATGCATGTGGAGTCACGGCTTCGCATTCATTCCATCCAGGCCTTCAGTGACAACAAAAGTCGAGAGCTCGATGCAATGAATCGAAGCCATGGCCTCAACTGTACAGGTCATACCAGATCACACCCGCGCGTGTCCGTGTTCACGCTGTCACGCTAAGTCAGTTTTCACATGTCAGTCACCTGGTCCTTGGCATCGCCTAGTGTTCTTTGTAGTCTCATCATCTTCATGGTATACTTCCGAAGAAGAGTACGATGTCCAGTAATCAGATCCTGTCACCGTCTTCCCATCTACACTTTCTGCAATGTGATCTATCTTCAAACTAGTTTAACCAGCCACCATGGTCATTCTGAGCCTCGTCTTGCCTGTCATTGCCGCCCCAAGTCTCTACATCCAGCTATATCGTCAGGTTTCATCGACAGGCATATCGAGGCTCATGATGATTATAGTGCACTTTTGACTTTGATTTGTCCGAGAATTTTAGATTCCCTAAGCACGGTGTGGAGCGAGAGAGTCAATATAGACATGCCAAATGTGATGTCGCATCTTGTACAGGTCGCACTTACGAAAGGAGAAGCTAGAGAGATCAATTTCTGGACGTCCTCGTAGCTTTATGTAGCGCAGGAACATTGTTGCCAGTCGGCCGTAGCCTCCAGTAGGTCGTGATTAGAATTCTCAACTTTAAAACTCGATCTGCAGGAGAAAGTGAAGCCTGTGCAGGGGAGCATTTCTCAGATCATATCTTGTGCTTTCTGCTGGTTGGATCAACCTTCAGGAAAGTTGTCTCACTTGTACAGGATGATCGGCATGAAGATGTTAAATATAACTGCTCATATGCCAATTTCGAGATGATCTAGATTTGATTTCAGGATCGAGATGCTTACATGGCAATCAAAAATGTTATGTCGACCGTAAACTAAGTAGATAGTTTATTCGACGACTTCCCGCTGTCCTTCTGCAGCAAGGTACCCTGGGGCTTTCATCGGCTGAAGCTGTCCCTTCGACTGCTCCACGTTCCTGAGAACCAATCATCCTTGAGGCTGTTTGAAGGCCGTGTATGGGTGAGACTTTGGTCGAATGATGAAGGTACGGATTTGGAAACATCGCTTCAAGATGTCGTTCATAACCAGGTCTCGATCTCGAAGCTACGAGTCTGAGCCATGTCTTCACATCTGTACCGTATGTTGTTGGAATGAGAGTCTTTTGGTCAATTTTTCGTTTGGAAGTACATCGGGTTTCTGCGTTTGGCTGTTCGGAATATATCCTCTCGAAGCCCGCAACTTTTATTTCTTCTGTTGTGTTCGCGTCATGTATGCCCGTGATCGATGCTACCTTGGCAGAAACGATCTGTCTTCTACGCATGCTCCACGAGCTTCCCACTACGAATCTCATGGGTAGAGTCTGGGCAATCGAACCTGACATGTTTTGTGGATAGCGATTTTGTCAATACATAACAGCGATTTAGTCAGCGACATAGCGACATAGCGATAACAGTTATGGCTGCCTGTTGCTTGATGTTCTCGGTCTTGAATAGTATATGAGCTTTATGAAGCTGAGGCAAGAAAGGCTGCGACCTTGTACCGTTCCGCGAAACATCCTCCGTCCCACTGGATGCAAAGTACGACTGTTCCTCCGACCTGCTCGACTTCTTATCCTTAGAGAACGAATTCGAGGCAGGAGCCATTGCACTGACAGAGCACATATGCGGGATTGCATATTTCCACAATCTTAAACGGGCGATGACAAGATTGCAATCTCTTCGATTCAATCTATCTGAGAGAAAAAATTGCAAGTGATGAGACCTGGATCCGTCCGCAATGCCTCGTCTATGTTTCTCAAGTTTGCTCTTCGATTGGACGCGTTGTTCTGCAGAGTTACAGCTGCTGCCCGAAGAGTAAACGGTATTACTGGTGCGTCAGGCGGGTCGACAGGCTGAGATTATCTACCACTTTTAATGTAATCTAACTCCGTTATCACTCCCAAACTACTGATGAGAACAAGCGGTTTGAACGGGTGGAACCTAGCGAATGCGACCTGGCAAGCTAATAATGACAGATATTCTAGACGCCACCGATTCGTAAAATTATCCCGTATCCTGAACACACGAACCTTCCGTTCACTAAGGTCTCTACGGTCAAGTAAATTTTCAATTCTACAGTTTCAATTTGTGGTTCGTTAAGGTCTCTACGATCATGTAAATTTTCACCTCTACAGTTTCAATTTGTGGTCATTGTGACACTAGCGAGTGTATAGTATCATACTACGTATTATGTAGATTGTATCTCACATGAAATGCTATATATCTTCCGAAGTTAAAATTCGCTTCATCGTCCCTAGCCAACTCTAAAGTGCCCGAATGTAATTTGTCACACTAAACGTTTCCTTTTTCCACGTGCCAGTCCACAAAAACCTATCTTCAGAATTTCAAGAATAACTATCGAAAAGTCTCCGGTAAAACAAAAGAAATGGTTTAATTTCATGTTCCACTTTAATCTCAGTCTGGTTGATATTAAAACAGATGAAAATCATTTATCCATACTCCAAGCATGACAAAATATAGCATCACAACAATAAGTTGTCCATCTTGGCTTAAAATATAACTAGAACATAATCGATGATATAATACACTATTAAGTAATTATGTATTTCAAAACTAATGCATGTGTAATTCTCCGTGTGCTAAAAAAGTGAAATGAGTATTTTCTAAGTGCAAAACCATGGTTTGTAGGTAAACAAATAAGTGCACGTGTGCACAGTTCCATATTCACCCGCCACTTAATACTGAAAGTTCACAAACACTCCTCAATGTACTATCACATAATCAACTCATGAAACAACGCTCCATGACGAATCAAGTCAGGTTTACAGAGAAAAGTGAGCTCGGAGAAAAGCTCACTCCGGTACTACACAATGTTGTGTTCTCTTCTGATATCTGTACACTATAATTGCGAAAATCCACGCAAATACAAGAAAAGAGAATACCACTTCACATCCACGAAGCTGAAAACCATTTGGAGCGCAAGGTCCGGACCACAAGTGAATGCTGAGGACTGTAACATGGAATCAAGACACTCTAAACATTAGACATACATTAATAATCAATCACAGCATCTCTAGTCTTGTTTAGTGCGAACCCAAATCAAATGGTGTAATGGGTCCCGATATATTTCTCAACACTCTTATTACAAATCGGCTGGAAAGTTGATGAGTCAGAGTCCTTGATAGTAACACGAAGGTGGATAGATTTTCTCGCCTTCAGTACCCTGAACCGAGACGTCTTGGCGGAGCCTTCTTCCAACAAGATCCAGGAGCATCTGTGAACATGAAAATACCACTTATACATCATTGACCACAAAACTTGAATACAGACACCAGATTCTAAGTCTGGTCGGTGTTATCAGTAGCATAGGCAGAAAATAGTAAAGAAGGGGGCAGAATTCATGACAGAGCACAAGAGAACCGTTCTCCTATTACGGACAATGCACTGCCTGCCAAGCCAAAAGCTGAAGAAGACATCAACAAACGACCCAATACTGGGAGAAAAAAACAGATACGCATATTAGATGCATCAGCAAAGATCCCCAATTGGGCGGAATCGTGTGATCCATGCGAAGTAAAGATAAACAACATGCACTCTTGTACAGGTATGTCTTAAAAAGTAGGGCAGGTTACACTGTATAATGTAAACAACAGTACATGTCCACTGAGTGAACCATATATTAATTTCCCGCCTGATACGTATGTATCGATACCGAGAAAAACCCTACTTGATGATCATATCCGCCCTTAACAGTTTCACAATGACCACAAAGCACTTGGTCCCCAGAGCTTTGGGTATCTTAATCAGGCAAAACGAATGAATGTCTGCTTTCATTCGATCAGCACTACGACAAAAATATCACTATAAATTCTCTGAATTTACGTTTGCAGAGAATGAAAAACATATATACAACAACTCTTCTCGCCTAAAGAACTGGATACGATACCGCAAACACTCATATATCACTCACATCAAGTAAAGACATGTCTCAGGCATATACAGGAAGATCTGCGGGGGCTCCGCCAATATCGAGATCAGGTTCGAATCATAAGAATGCACTGAGACCAGATCGGAGACAATTTTCCAAAATCGTGAAATACCTCGGGGGGATCGAAGCAAAATCAAACCCTAAATCTAGGAGCAAAGTCTCAAATTACAAATTCGGATTTCAATCCAAAACACCTGCAATCTTGCACGAACCTCTAAAGATCGATCACTAAACACTTCACACGGTTTAAAAATCGCCATGGCAGAAATACTCCATCAGTGTTACGAGCCCTAATCTACGCGACGCAGATGGAATCGCAATGGACGGTAAAAAATCACCTGGAACAACACGATAGTGATTCTCAAAATACACGCGTCTACAAATCAATGATGGTCTCCCTTCTCTCCCTTGTGCTTTGCAGCCTCCTCTGCATGCTTCAGATGCCGAATCTCAGTAGGCCATCCAACAGCGTAACCCAAAAGTCCGACGGTCATCATGACATCATTCACAGGCTTGATGGAGCCGGTCTGAATGTACTTTTGGTTGTAATTGTACAGAAAACTCCATGTGTTCTTCGACACATTGTCCTTGGTCACCACAGTCTTCACGAATGTGGGGACATCCTTGAGCTTCATGCTCGCCAAGGATCGGAACGCCATCGGAACCTTGAGTGGAAGCCTCGTGACTGCTCGTCGCAAGCCGATCGTCCTCGACTCAAACTCTTCCTCTCGCCAACACGCTTCGACGGATCGATCTAGCTCCGCAAATCGCTTCACGAGTGCTGCGAATCGATGACCAAAATGATAAATTTCTTCGCTCTTCTGCCTCCCACTCTTCTCTCTTCCCAGGCGCCTACAGACAAAGGCTAATTGTGGTCAAGTCCGTAGATCGGCGTTTCCCTTGCCACCGGATATTGCTCTTGACCTCTTTGAACCCGATATTGGCAGATGCCACTGCACTGGGCCGGGCCTTGGCCCTCGTCCACTGATTATCGGCAGTCGACATTCACAGGTCATAATTGTCTGTGTTGGTGACTGGAAATGTTGCGGAGGCGTCAATGCGGCTTCACGACGCGAGTAACCCGACATTGGTGGTGGGCCAGATGTGGCCAGAGTTGGCCTTCCATTTATCGGGGGACGCCGAGTTCTCTATTTCCTACGGCGTACATTGCCTGATCAGATACAACTAGTACTTCTTCTTCCACTCAATACTGTACCATAGGAGGTTACCATGTAAGGAAGTGGAGAACGTGGTTGATCTCCAACGTGGTAAAAGAGTCTACGGCGTTCTTAGTCCTTGTTTTCACACTGTCGTGATTTTTACCTCACTGATAGGCACCATATGGTACGGTGATTTGTTGCGGAGCATCCTGTGAAGTATCGTAAGATGTAATATCCACTTTTGATGCTTCAAACATACTTTGACAACATGTGTTGTTCATTGATTATTTTATAAGACAACGTAAAGTAGATGATACTTCATTGAGTTTCATCCTTGTTGATATGCCAAATATTTTGCCGAACATTTTTTACGACCCAATCTTCTGAGAAGATTATAGACGATTTTCCGGTTTATTTTACTGTTCAAATAGTTAATATCATGAAAACAATCATATTCACTCGTTTTCGTGCAGTTGTATTTGCATTGTAATGGACATAAGTGTCATTTCACAACTCAATATAACTAACATTCTTATATTTTTGAGAAACATTAGTTCATGGTTTAAAATATATAAGTATAATAAATTTATTTTTTCATTTATAACATTTGCAAGTATACCAATCATAGGTGATTCTTCTTTATATTGATTACACTACACTGAGCTAAAGTTTTAAGTTAATTTTATACGTAAAAATTTCAAAATAGCAACTTCTTTACGCAGTTCGATATTCTTGATCATTAAACTTGACTAAGAGGTTATTTTTTAGTTTTTTTTTTACTACAAATCCAACTCACTTGATCCTTGAAATGCCCTTCAGCTGAAAAAGCAGATCTAGAGGTTGAATTCAAGATAGTAAAAACTTCTTGAAATCAAACTTTATTTTTTTGAAGAATGTGTATACATTCAAGGAATAAGAGAAACACATGTACTAATCTCTTGATCATATCCACATTCAAAATGATTACGTATCACAACTTGCTTGTGTTAGTTAAGTTAAACGACCATAGTCAAAATTCACAAATACACAAAGAGTCAACACCAAAAATAAGTACGATGAAACTCAGGGTCATCTCTCTGAAAACTAAACTTGCGTCACATAGAGCTGTAGATACCTTTTTTTTACAACACTATTTTAGTAGTTTAACGGAACATTGTTATTATAATTAGAGTTAACCTAGACTGAAATGAATTCCCAACATTATTATTGCTAGAGAAATAAAAGTCAATGTTTTATATGAAAATCTTTATGTATGCGTCTATTTTTTAAAATTGAAAAGATATTAATTTTAATGACTCAATCCATTTAACTAAATTTTTATATTTATTGAAAATTTATTTTTTCTCTATACTTATTAATTTTTTTGATATATTTCTTGATAGTATAATACGACATAAATTTCACTTGAATAATTAAGATGATTTTTTCCGATAAAAATATTAAAGAATTATCTATGCTTTTTTGCTACTTTACGATTGAAATTTTTTTATCATGCAACATGATTTTTCTCCTTAAATATGGTTCATTGCAATATACGTTTTCAGATTAAACAGAATGAGAAATGAGTTCATTTTATAATATAATTTATCTCAAAGTCTTGCTTTGCTAAGTCAGAGAACAGTCTCGGCTATATGTGAAGAATTCTACGTGTTTCTTAGTTGAATTGATGTGATTTCATTACTATTCGGGGATCAAATACTAATATGTAGTTTCTAATATTCAAAGAATCTTGATCTTTTCATTGAGTTTCATGCTTTAAAATCTGATTTTTCTGTAAACATTAGAGTAGGCAGTGTATCTTTTAAGAAGTATATCTTCCAATAGCAAAACAAAAATAATAGCGGTTTGACTCTCTTAACTTGAAAACATAAAGTGTTCCTTACAAGCTGACGAAGGAAATTGTGTCTTAAGTGATACCGTTACTGTTATAATTTTTTTCTAGTACACTCTGACTTGTGAAGTTTTGTCGTGGTCATCTCCGTTTAAATGGTTATTTCTCACTTTCGCACTATTGCGATGAAAATGTTTGCATTTATGTTGTCAGTCGTCGAGCTTAATCAGTTGTACAAGTATTAGATGTCGGAGAAATCTAAAAGGATAACCGTTAACCTACTTCCCATGTACAAATCAGTGAATAAAATATACGATGTATATGTACTACAAGTTATCAAGTTCCGTCAAAACAGAATAATGGGTCCATGTTCATTATTCAGGGTCCAATGACATATTTCAATGGTACATAGACTAAGAGAAGTAAAAAAAGAAATGAGATTGAGATCTACTCCACGAATAAGGAATAGGACGTGAAAGATCAGGCTCTGGAGTAAGAAAAGCTGGCGATTTACATTCGATCGTAATGATCCATCGCATGTCCCGGAAGAAAAAGGTCTTGGCTTGGAGCAAAACAGGGGAAGGTGTTGCACCGAAGCTCCAGAGAAAAAAGCGTAAATGTCGTGCTAAAATAAGCCCTAAACTAACAGTTCTCTTTGCCCTTTCGCAGCGTTGGTGGTGATCACGAACAAGACAACTCAGTTGATACACAGAGAGCGAGAGCTGCTCGTGTGCGAGGAAGCGATGGCGAAGGCCGAGTTTTGATTTCCGAAACCCTTCCTCGTCTTCTCACTGATCCATCCAACCTCCACCACACCATACGACGCGTCCTCTGCTCGTGCTCAACGAAAACGCTCGATCCATCTCCGCTGCCTTAAGAATCAGGTACGATTTGCGATTCGGTGTGTTCCGATGTATCGAGGTGCCACGCATGAGAATGATTCGCTCGGGCAATGATGTCACCGTGCTACGCATATTTGTGTTTGTGGGATTCTCTCGATAGGTTGGAAGATCTCAGTGTCAGGACTTGCTCGTTGCATCCAAGCATGGTGGGGCTTGATCGTACAGTGAGGGGCAGGTGTTGATAGATAGAGCGAGCTGATAATGCGGTGTTGGGCCTCGCGTCGCCACTGCCTCTGCACGGGGGCAGGAAATTCTGCGCTCTTTGATCCGAATAATAATTTGCCGATGGGAATCAAGCAGCTACACTGTCGCGGATTGAATGTAAAATCTAGGTCGCCCAGCTCAGGCTCTTGCGAAATATAAAATTTGAAGTCAGTGTTGATGTGACCGTGTTTGCTTCAGGGCAAACAGCTGAGTGGATGGGAATCAGGTGCCCTTTCGGGTACTTTTGGAGGAAGATCCACATTTGCGCTGGTTCATCTACCGTGTGTTGAAGAATTAATTAGTTCTGTTGGAGGCCTTGGCTTGTCTTTTGCTGAAAATTCTTGGTGATGGTTGCAGAAGAGATGGAGGCAGAGGAGGCGAGAGATTTGGGAGATTATGACACTGTGATGTTTAGAACTCTAAGCGGAGCGGGATCCAGCTTTTTGGCAGGGACCATCATTGGGGCTATTCATGCGACATGGTCGGATGTGCCTGCTGTGGAGAAGAACGTTGCTTGGCCAGCTCTCCAGAAAACAGGACGTCTTATGGGATCGTACGGCATCCTTTTCGGTGCTATTGGGGCAACATTTACGATGGTTGATGCAGTTTCGGAATCTATCAGAGGCAAAAAGGACTTTGTCAATGGTGTTTTTGGAGGTTTTGCTGCGGGTTCCATCCTCGGTTTTCGAGGTGCTGTTCCTATACCTATTAACTTCAAAAGTTGTTCTTAGAAAGGTTTAATTCAAATTCTCAGTTCTCGCGTAAAGCTGGTTATGAAAATATCATAGCCTCGTACGATTACAACAGAAGAGAACGATTATCTTATCTTTTCGGAGCAAAGTTTAATATCATGGGATAAGAATAGGCAAGAATAGAAAATTAAACCATGACACATGAGATTCCCACTCAGCACACGAGAATTCTTTCATATTAAGTTGATAGTCTCAGTGTACGCTTATTTTGATGAATATAGCCGATCAGGACCATGCCGTGATTGAATCACAAGTAGAACTTGTCAAATATACAACGATGTACAAACTTTAACAGCATGAATTAAGAGACATGAGACATCGGCCAAGATCTAAACCGCAAACCTGGGATGGCGTAGGTTATGTTTCTCGACCCGTTTTGCGCTAGGACAGTTGTTGGGGGTTTGTGTACCATACTTAGGAGGTGAAGGATAGGATTATAGTACGTATCAATCCTTGACTGTTTGGAGCTTGAAGTGCAGTCTCCTTTTTCGTGCATCTCAGGGTCAAAAGGAAGAACGTCAAAACACAGTTCTGCTAATGGTGTTAATCTGTTTGCAGCTGGAAGAATACCCGTGGGATTAGGAGCAGGAGCTGCTATGGCAGCTGTTTCTGCTTTCATGGATGCAGGTGGTCAAAGAACACGTGCTCCAACGGGCAGGGAGTACTTGCCTTATCCTAGGGAGAACCGTGATTACTGAACACCAGTACATATACTAATGGTGAATCATTCACAATTCATTGCTTTGCCTTGGAAATTGCTATCCCAGGCACCTGGGTTTGCTCTGCAATTTTTCCCAGGTGTCCAATTGCAATTGCTTTCAGTTTACCAATGTCTATACCTTCACTCTCGCAAAATGAGAGCCCTGAGCGGCGTAGTTCAGCAGATATAAAAGATTCCACATTGACTTCCTGCCTCCATGTGTGTGTGTCCAGAAGTTCACATGTCACCCTCATTATTCATTTAGACCCTAACCCGAAAACTATGCGGTGTGAGACAGGAATAGACGGTTTTTATGTACTTAGCGTCGCCCTGGTGTTGAATCAGAGGCCTAAACATGTGGAGTATGAGAACACTGGCTGCAAATGGAATATAGATGCTGGTACCTGTTTAATTTCTTCCAACAGCTACCAAAGGGGGTTCTTATGCAGCAAGAGACTTAGTACATTGTTTTGCCTTCATTCGACCAAATTTTCTGTTTGGGTCTCTTCTTTTTGTTTTCTCTACACGTATTGCTCCCAAAAGGAGGACGAGTTTTGGATTAGCTGGTGTGCATGACCAAGCTATAACAGCTCAATTTGATTCTTGTACGTACGTTCATCTCCACGTAAGTGACTCGCCGGTTGTTTCTGATTTGAGTTGGGGCAGCTTCGGAAGACCATCTTTACAAGCATGAATAAAATGTTTTACTTAAAGGGAAGATCTTAGTGCAAGGACACTGATTCTTCAAAATACACGTTGGAAGCAAAATGACAATTTCTGAGAAATCATGTCAGAAACCTGCGTACTGGAATGAATTTCTCCGTTTCAGCCTGTATGTAAGGTCGATCCACTGCAGTTGCTCTACCTTCCTTGTTGGTTCCAGTTAAACCATTCCAACTAAGTAACAAGGCTATTGACTTACAGGGGAACCTAACCTGGGTCTTTTTTGAATTTCTCCCCTTAGGTGGTGTATTCATGTCTTCTTTTTCTCAAGAGAACCGCATACGAATTTTCAATCATTTTATCACTTCATTTTGCTACTTGTTCCTGCATCAGTTTGTCCTCCTATTTACTGACTGTGTAGTGGATACTTCATAATTTGTTTGGTTTTGTGAAGATTATATGTTTTGTCAATTTTTGTAGCACGAAGCAGCATTTGCAAGTTTAATTAATCGTTTTACGTTCACGACCCCTTTGAGAGTTTGTGCTGACCTGAAGGCCGGGCAAGGTTCATATCAAGTCACTTTCTAAGGACCTTGCCTGCCTCAAGTCTTTGTAATACGAATTTGTGTTGTTACTTCTGCAATTTGAAGCTGTTCGCATATTCATTCGTTATTAAGCTACAGATCTGATGATTGTTGAAGTTCTCATTGTTTTTATCAGTAACTTTTGATTGTAAACCTCTCTCTTATCCAACAGCACCTGGATATCTCCCACTGAGGAGACCTGTCTTAGGTAGAAAATATCCAAAATCACCGTCCATGTCTTTTTTTCCGCTTTTATCTATGTTCTATATTTGTCCCGGCGAGAGTCCTATCAAGGGACAATGTCGTAAGATATCAGGTCCTTTATGTCTGCTTTTCTCTAGGTTCTGTTTTTGTCCCCGCGAGACTTCTATCAATGAATGAGGTCGTAGGACATTAGCTTTGTCTAATTTATCTATGTTAAAATTGTCTGTCGAGTACAAGGCGTAAATCGTTAGATAACTGTCTCAAATTACCTTCCGTAGTTTGATCTTTGTTCTTCTCGCTTGAGAGCGCAACCGGTGGCATCGCTTTGCTGGTGGAGGCCAAGCTGTCTACAGAAATCCTAGACTTGATGCATGCTTAGAGTAGCCGCAGTTTTGAGACCCATCTATTGGAGCTTTTGTAACCGTTCTGTGGATGAGACAGTGGTTTGATTTTTCCTTGGTTGACAACTGAGAATCTCCAGTTAAAAATTGTAATGAACCTCCTCAGAAAGCGACCTATCACTCTGAAGTAGCCTCCTCTCGGTTTCATCCTACTTCTAAGTCAGTACTCTATGTCTTCATTCCAGCACCGCTCAGCTAGTGACAAGCATATGTGTATGAGCGCAGTTTGCCTGTTCACAAGGCTTCAGTCTAAGAATCGGTGGGGCCAATCTCTCAATATCTCAGAAAGAATTCGAAAGAGACAAAGCTCCTACTAGTTACTTCTATCCAGTCCTGACGACTCAGGTCTTCATGCAGGACTACGGACAAGATGAAATGTTGACCTTTTATTAGGATAGCTTTGCAAATTTCTTATCTCGTGGACCTGCCCACTATCGAGCGTATACACACGTGGATGATGTGGAAACATGGTCTAAACAAGGACGCTGCCCATCGACGCACAACTAGAATTTCGAGATTGAAGAAATGACTCAGAACTACGCTGTTGAGGGAATCTATCATCAAATTTTCCAGTTCGGAATGTACATGGGTGGATGGATATAACCATCCCATTAGTGTTCCCCGAGATGACGATAGTGGTGGGCGTAGCAGATTACGAGGATACATCTTTGCATGCTGTCCAGTTTTGCCAACAGCACATTGTTTGATTCTTTCTATCGCAGTGAACAGTATTAACGAACGATTGCAAGTCCAGTTCTTCTCGAAACTACAGGTTATTCAGTTACGCCAAGTGTTTCTGTCCACAAATTTTTCATCTCGTATGAAGTCACGTGGCGCATAGTTCTTACCTACATCAACAATCTTACTTGGTTCATGTACTAGTAAGATGGATTTGTAACTTCACCTAATCAAGTATATCAGATTTAATCGGACTTTTGAACTTGCTCGTGTACCTCAATTAAAATTGTAGCCAGTGGGTGGAGGTGAATGACTTATTCTAATTAACCATCATAATAAGAATGCCAATGACAATATGACCGATGCGCTAAAACACACTTGCTTTGGAGCATATAAAAAGTTGAGTGTCCTTACTTGGAACCTATCAAATAGGACCACATACTAATTCATTCGCGCATGAGCGCAGAAGTAAGTAAACACTAAATGTAATCAAGTGTTCAAAACAAGAATCAGGAATGAGTTTATAATTCTGTTTGCTATTGCGTTTTGAGTAGTATCTCTATATGGTGAATTCAAACCTTTTTGATTGTTTATGTAAAAAGCTTCACAAAAAAAGAATTTCTCTATTTGGAGGGTCTCCATGTACTCGAATAACTAGTATTATTATCAGGACGATATTAAGTTAGAGATATTTCTTACTTTGATTTGTATTAAATTTTGATAAATTTGTTAAAATTTATTATTCAAAAAACTATATTGATTTTCTTATTAATTATTTGAATTTTATCGGGTTTTTAACATAATAGAAATTTATTCTATCTCATGATTTGATAATATTTAAATATGATTTATTTCCAAATCATATAAAACCAATTTGTTGAGGTTAACTCAAATTGGTTGATTAACCTTGATCGTAGCTAAATTTAACTAAGAAGTGCCGCCAAGAGGGCTACACCTAAACTCAGATACTTGTGACTATACAAGATTTTTTTCACTACAGAGTTAAACCTTCGAATATTGTCACCTCTTATGAGCAGGCCTCTCTAAGTACGAAACTCCTTCCGTCTGTTCTGTATTTGGTTTTCAAGAAGTTCCGTATTTTGAATATTTTTTTTCTCTTCATCTAAGTGGTCTAACTAGAGTGATAAAAGTTCAACATTTTAGTTTCCACCAAATTCGCTACAAAGTGACCATGCAAAGTTGTAGTTCGCACAACTCCGTTTCAACCGAAACACTTGTTACAATGCATTGCAAGTCGTGATCCTCAAACCTCTCATAAACTTGTAAAAATTCATTAGCTGTATTGGCTTGAAGTTCTGCATGTTTTGGAAGCACTTTGCAATTTAAGAAAGGTAGAAGTTCAACCAGGCGAGTTCAAACATTTTGACACCTTTCTTACCTCATGAATTTGCAGTTTTGAAAACAACGGGATGTAGTGTTGAAATATCAAGATCGTTTGAAAGTTTCTTTGCAAAAACACTACATTGATCAAATAGTGGATGAACACAAACATCTTTTGGTTTTGTGAACATCGACTTCGCCATGCCTTAAATCTAATATGATTTTAATGAATATTGGACTATTCAAGGCATTAGTTTTACTCTGAAGTTCTTTGTAGGATTAGCATGTCCATTTGCCAACACTGCCACCTTAGAAAGTAATTTTTCAATGCTGAAATGGAAAAAGTATTTTCACATATAAAAACACTCTCGAAATTGTATTCAAATTTAAACATTTTGAAGAAAACAAGAGAGTTTTGTACTAAATTCCGTATGTTATTAATTTTGTTTTGATGATAATACTTATTTTGTTGAAATACAAAACATACGGAAATTTCCTTTTATGGAGAGTCTTGCTTATGAGTGACATCCTCTCATTAGTAACGTAAATTTCAAGAACCATTAGTTTCTAACTTGTAAATTTGCTCAATAAGAACACTATGTCACTATTGCCAATATTGACATGATACTATCTAATAATGACAATTTCAAGTGTAATTTCGTAGTTAAGATTCTTATCATGATCACAAAACAAGCTATGAGAAAAGAAATGTGGCATACGTTAATATAAAGGTCTATCTCAACAATTCACTCTTTTTGGGCTTTAGTATAATACTTTACTACAAATGTTATCATCAAGTGTTTCACTCAGATTTTTGTGTATTAATCTGAATTCAAACGCAATTATAGCGCCCATGCTGATCATCATGAACAACCCAGATGTGCAAATGAAGACGATATTGAAATCAAACAACACATTTATATAAAATGTACTAAGACTAATGTAATGTACGATAAGAAATCTATGTGCTTTCTTTTAACAAGTAACACCTCCCAATAGTGACATCTAACGCTACACTATTAGTAGGTTATATTCAAAGTTATGCAGTTTACTCTTGTGAGTGACAATTTCCCAATATTGAAGTAAAACTCTAGCACCAATATATGTTACTACTGGGAGGTTTAACTCTGTATTGCAATATATTTTCTCATGTGTGACAGGCGCGGACGTCGTTTTGCACCTGGGTGAACCACCTTATCTTTGTGTCTTCTTGTATTTACCATCTGACTGATTGTAACCTGTATTTATTATTTTATTGTCTCGGACTAACGTTACTCATATAATTATGAATTGAAATTATGTCCATACTGAGTTGTAAAATTATATTAAAAACTATAAAGTATAGCTTTTTTTCAAATTTTTTTATCAAGATAATATTTTCAAATTCTTTTTAGAAATCACAACTGATATTTTACTCTAAGTGATATTTAAGAAAACAAATCACTTTTTAAAAGAATGATTTTGGTAGACATTGTGGACACAGATAGTAATCACTACGTTGGATAATTCTTAGATTAAAATCGGTTCTATAACCTTTTATTTTAGAAATACAATAGAAAAGTATTCCTTAGTCTCTAAACGAATGTTGTTCAATGTCTCAGAAATGCTCAAGCTAGAATTGTGACAGTGGAAATTTTCAAAATGTGAGAATATAGTTTGTGTGGATATTCATGCTGAAAACGTATTAAATCCACTTTCGAAATTATCTTAAGGAAAGTATCGAGGATGTTGGATCAGAAGTTTCAGTATATTTAAGAATTAAAACACTCAAATGTTGAGTGGGTCGTCTATAAAGCAAGAAGAAAAGAGACAAATGAAGAGAAGATGAATGTTTGAATTTAAAACAACTTACTTGAATGCCCTCATTCATCTCGCTACCTTGAGTTAGTCATAAACTAAACACAAGATAATTGTGTGTAGTTTTATTCAAGGCAATAGTGTTTTGTCAGTGAGGTCTCTAAAGAATTTGATCGATAATTATTCACGCAGCGGTACTTTGCGAGAGCGGTCCAACCCTCTGCCTTGAGGCTCTTCTTAAGGCCGATGTGTTTTTCAACTAGGTTCAAAAATCTGTTGTCACGGATTCTTCACCGCATGAAGCCTAAAGGCACCCGCTTCTCTATTCCATTGAAGTATTGCAAAATTTCACCATATTCTTGTACCGGTTATTACAAATTGATAATAATAGTTACCTAACTATAAATTTCTAATGAAAAGAAATGTCAGTCAAGCTTATCTATTTGATAAAACCCAACAATGAAAAATCATCGTTTTTCATCAAATCGAAGTTGTTGACAAAAACTCCACATGCTTATAAGAAAGTTATCTATGGTATTCTTCTTCTTTCTGTTCTGAATTTTTTCTATATTTTTATTTTGGCATCAAAAGTACTTCAAAGTAGATTTACATGTCAAATAAAAATTATTGATTTTATTTTTGGGTACACTGAATTACTTTACTTAATTGAAAATCAAATTCTGAATTAGATTTTCAGTTGATAATAATGCTGAATTTTGTCTCTACGAATACTTACAATCTAACAGCATATTTCATTTTAACCATTTCCATTTGACTATATCCAAATGTCTTATATTGCATTTTGGTGATTGGCTAACATTTACAGTTTAAATTATTAGCTTCAGGCTATGTCAAATGATAACTTGAGTCATGGAAAAACTGTTCCTCACGCTTATGAATCTTGAAGTGTGTGAGTGAATTGTGCTTACATTCATATTTATCAGTCAATGTGAGATATTCAAATTTATGAAGCATTTATTTCATCCATTTGATTTTGACAACCCTGACCATTCAGACTTCTCCAAATGAATTGGTCCGTTCAGATGGTCTTATTCACTGAGAAGATCAATTTGTAAATTTGGTATGTTTCAATCATTTTCATCATAATCTTGCCATAATCATTTCTGCATACAGGAACAGAAACAGAAAGTCGCTGAATTAGTGAAGAATTGAAGACGTTTGTTAACGATTTCAAGTTCGTTTCCTTTACTTTGTGTAGAGTAACTTGAAATCTGCTTTTGATCTAAACAGATATGTGATATTTACAAAAAATGCTATATTATAACCAAGTAATCTGTCAACTTGTTGAAATTCACAATGATAATCTGCGGATGCAAAGGTCAAACACTTTAAATGTAAGGCACACGTAGAGTAAATTGAAGTAATATATCCAAAGCAATACAGTAGATGCTCAAGCGCAATTACAGAAAGCATTACTTTGGAAGCAGCAAGATGACAATATATACGTCAATGTTTGCGCACATATATAGGATTAACTATAGTACTCTTATGGTGATACTAAGGTCGCTTATACTGAACGACTAAATCCTTAGCTAGAGAATATGCTCTTCAAGAACTCTGCAAGAGTTCAGCGGGCACCACATGCACTTCGCAACCTTCTGTAAGACCATTCTGCACAACAAACGAACAAATCCTTGTGATGAGCTCATTTTTCTATGCAGATAGTTTGATCGAATGCCCTGATGTGGCGTGTATACGCATGCTGCACAGCAGTTTCTTCGAAACAACTTGGGAAAGTAAGTTGAGATGGTCTTGATGCGGGAAACTCTTGCGCCCCTTGAGAGAGCCATGTATTTGATCTAGATGTCGCTTTTACCATGCGACAAGCAAGGACTTTTGTTGAGAATGAGCTCCTTCTGCCGAAACGGATATGCAACTTCAGCTTCCCTGTAGCACAAGATGAAACTAAATTTTGTAGGTACAGGAAAGTTCCATTTACCTCTTTGATCGTTCCCGACTGCATCACTTTACCGAAATACACAAATGCAAGGGCTCTGCTGTCCTTCCCGTGTATCTGGCTGTAACTCTCAACGACCTTGTTCACATCTACAGCCGTATCGGTCATCATGATGACTTCGCAGCAGTCGCTCATATACTGCCAATCAACATCACCTCACTTAAGCACCAAAGAGTCTTTTGAGGTACACACCACGATTTAAGACCAGAAAGACGTAATATCAATACTACTTTCGATCTTCGGTTTGAACTTACGTAAGGCATGAGCTTGATCGTGATGTAATTTTTACGGTCGTTGTCGTCTCCATCTCGCGTAGATCCTGATTTCGAGGCCATTTGCGAATGAATACACCGTTTGATTGAAAGGGAGACCACGAAGCCCAAACACCAACGAACACAACACAACACAGACACAAGCAAACACAAATTACCGAAGTGGGAGGAGTGGATTCAGGTCTGTCATTCTTTTATAGTGAATTGACATGACAAGGGACTCAATTCTGAACAAGAAGGACATATAATTTGAAGTACATACTTGAGAAGGTGGGTCCAGATGAGTCCACATCAATGAATAGGGTCCACATAAGTCCACATCAATTTATAAAGAAATTTTCAAAAACCTTGCTAACAGCTTTTGGTTAGAACTGAGTCTCTTGTCTTTTCTTGTTGGAAAGTGTCTCTTGTACAGAAGAAACTGCTAACTCCTTTCTTGACAGCGATGTCTAAGAAGTCTGAATACTGATAATAAGTCCTTTTAATCTGACAAGACCAAAGAAATGAATATACTGATAAATAATTCATTAGCACTTGCAGGTCTCTTTCACTTCCTTTCCGTAGCATGCAGGAAAAGGAGAGTCTTGGTTGACAAACTACAAGCTGAGAATTACTGAGCTTGATAGTTACAGCTCTCAGTTCAATCGTTGTTGGACTGACGAGTGAGCCCAGCAACGTTTGTGAAGAGCAGGCAGCAATGCCTAGGACAGAACTATAAACCATGTCGGAACCTTATGAATGTGGTATAATTAAACTACAGTGGTAAGTAAGCTCTGGGAAGTTCTACAACCACCAAGTCTCGTCGTAGGGACGAGAGGGCTTTCATTCGGGCTCACACGAGAAGCGGGAGACGGAGAATCGACGTATGGCAGCGGGAGTTATCGGTGGTTGTCGGAGCTAAAAGCTGTACAATGTGAAGGTGAATAGGCATACTTTGCATGCTGACCAAAGATAACCAGACTTGCGTACACAATTCCTGCGACATGACCCATTCAATTTCTGCGCAAAGCGGAGAATCACGGATGTATGTAATTAAGTCAAATCTTCACGAATAATCACATTAGCTTTAAAATGAATAGCGGTTGTAGCTTTCAGCCCACACCAAGCGCCTTATTATGCCGTTTTGAATTTACTATGAAGGCTAAGTCAAAGTCCAAAACAAATTTTCACATGTAAAATTTCTTCATTTATATTCAAAGTTATAAATAATCATATATTCTTCAAGTTTTCCAAGTCTCAACTCTATAATTGACATGAATGGTGTTCTAACTTTGGAGAATGTTTTATCAAACCTCTTATTTTTCGTCCCAATCTTACACCAATTTTAATGTGTTTTGCATAACAGTAAATGAAAACACCTCAAAAATAAGTATTATAATTTTCATTTCTATATTTTTGACTTCGCACGTTTCTAATTACATTGAATTTTTACATGTTTATTCTCACTGTGCACCAATATGATCCTCTATATGAATAACTATATCAAGATATATAGATGTATATGAACAATCGCACCAGATTTGTTTCAGTTTCCTGTATCTGTGTCTCATGGTCTAGAACTGTTATGCTAGAGCAACATAAGTTACTTCCTGTGCGTCTAGCATGCCCTTTTACAATATCTGAAGTTAAGACAGATTGAGGCGAGAACGTGACGTAAAGAAAAGAAAATATAAATATTTCAGATTGTAGGAGAATTCGTGTACATTTCAAAGAAAATGTATTTAAGAGACAAATTTTTGTCTCTTGAACTTTTGTTTTCAATGGTGACAGATCATAGAATGATAGTTAGTTTTAAAAAAGTATTTATGTTTAAAATTAAAGTAAGTATTTAAAATCACCTCAACAAGGAAGATGAACATATGTATGACCAATGGATATACCAATTTTCAGATGTTAATTCTCGGCAGGCACTCCCGCAATTTAATGTTTGATGATGTTTAGATAATCATTTTGAATCTCTCAGCATTTGCAACCTGTAATACAACACTATGCCTAAAGAGGAATGTAATGATTTTATTTGTACATAGCAAACAGTAACTAAGCATCTATAGTTTTATCTATAATTTTCTATAAACATGTATGGTTCATGGTCAGTTTCACATTTCATCACGCTTAGGAATGTCATTAGATTCATTTACAGTCCTGAATCTTGGCGAAAGATCATTCTTGGCATTATCACTTTGTTTGAACTATCTTAACTTTTTTTATCATTTTTTTTCTAATTATTGTTCAGTTACGTATACTCTGGTGTAATTACTACTGTTATGGATGTATGTACTATACTCTGAAGGTTCCTCTTCAGCATCAGAAAGCATTCATAACTTTAATGGCTGCACTTATACTTGTATGATCTCATTCTGAGAATGCCGAATCTATACCCACCGTTGCCTGATCACATGAAGTCCGACTATTTTCCTAAAAGTTAGATATAATCTTCTTGGCTTGCTCAATTTACTTAGATGATGAGGAGATTGTTGTTAACAACGTCATTGTATTGTATTGATCGTTTACAATTTGAAGATGGAGACATGATTAGGAAACTGTAACGGAGATAGAACGCAGTGATGCGTGGTGAATTTCATCGGTTACCGTTGGATTCCCGTTACAGGTTACTGTGCTGTAATTGCAGTACAAGAAGTTGAATAAACCTAGGCTACAAAATTTAAAATAAGGTGATGATGTGCTGAATCGACTCTGTAGGTAGTTGCTGAAGTGGGGTTCATACGCATATGAAGACGGAAACTGGAAATTCTCCGAGGTTCATTTGTCTAATCTGATGATATTTCATGTTACATGACTGTTCTCTGTCGAATTACTTCTTTTTGAATCACACATCCAGTTAGTACGTACAAGGCGTGATCTGTTGAATGTTAGTGGATTTGCAGACAATACAAATATTGTTTCTGTTTAGGTGCATGTACTTGCAGTAAGTGAGCTCTGTAAACACTTTCAACTCATGCTTTTACCATCTTCGTTGTATTTTGACCAGATCGGCCATCTGCAAAACGAAGGAGTTCAGTTTCAGATGGACTGAAGACAGTGCCGTCTATCTATAAGGGTAAATCTGAAGAGTTGTGCATTGTCTGAGTTTCAAACCGTGTAGCTTCACAAAATCGTCAAAGAATGTACACAGAAGTTCAGATGTGTCTAAAGAAGTTCACATGCATGATCCAGCTTGATGATTGAACCTGCCTCGAGGAGTAGTTCCACATTCCGGAAATGTCATCATGTGTACTAAAATTTACGAGTTCATGTTTTTTGTTTTTTGATTGTAAAATATGACATTGTAAAAAACTTTCGCTCTCCTGCTGTTGCAAGTGATGATAAACCGCCACTATTTGATGATTTTCTTATAAGGTATTTATTCTGCAAAGTACAGATTATTTTCTGGCAAGTATGTTCTTATCCATTACTTCGATTTGGAACTCCATAATGAAATAACCTATGTGCAAAATACAGCTTGTAAGTTATACATGATCGTGACGATAGCTATGGTACCGAGCTAATTTGGAGCTCTAATCATACTCGAAACGTGGAATGCTTCAAATTAATATCTGATGCTGATATATCCTTCTATTATATTCTTACCTGATTGGAATGTAAGAGGCTAGATTGAAGCTGGAACTTGATGTTGATTACAGCTGTGTTCTGCAGGCCACACCAATTTTAATACTTGGAGATTATCAATTGCATGTCGAAAAAGAATCTTGTGTGCAAGAATGCTTGCAATTGTTGGACGCAAAGGAATATAAATATAAACATTTACAAAAAGACTGGACTTGGATGTTATTGATTGTGATGAATCCAAGAACTGTCTCAATAGAGTTGGTTTAGAGCTTCTCTTCCTCCTCCCAACGAACAATGTTTTGGATCGATCTCTGCTGCTAATTCATTCATTTATCCTACTCCATTCTCAACTAAGATGGATGCAAGGGGGCATGATTGAACCATGAACTGAATTTGATTACAACTTTCTATTCTAGATTCAATGAGCTCCACGACACATCCTTATTGACGCTGATTCATAGTCTGTACCGAAATATATTCATGTTGTCGTTGAGAATCGATATGAAACGAGTAAATCTGTGTAGAACATATCTATCAACGTCGACAGGTGAATTAAAGATGGATGTTCAAACTGTGTTACGTGCTGTAGCTAGCCTGCTAAATGTATGTCGGTCATTTTTAGAAGAAGTTTACACTGTCTAGTTTCAAACTTTCAAGTATTGAATTAATCAGTGCACCACGAGACTACAAAGTAAGTATTGTCAATGGGAATACTTGTAAAATATAATATTCCAAGTATATCGTAACACTTTGATTCATATAATGTACTATCATGGTCGTGAATCCTTGTAAGATATTAGAAGGATTCATTAGATTGAATTTAATGACGTTATTGAGTTCATCAGCTTTACACTACCCTGATCAGAAGAGTTTATTGGCAGTCACCAAGAATCAATTCGTCAGAAAATTATAAATACATCCAGAAGAACCCAGAGACAATACCAAAATTTGATTCATAATATGGTGGTATTGTTTACAGATACAGTTACATTTCGTGAATAAAACAATAAACTGCTTGAAGCTCTCCGATCCATTAAATGTTTGACAACTAATTGGCGTTTGTCTCGATAACATCACATAAAAAAAATATAAAACGAGCTTGAGGGAATTCTCCTATGTAACTTCTCAAGTTCAAGTTTCACCCTGATTATATTTTGAGTTAAAAAAATCTAACGATTGCAAAATAGAAAAATGAAATATAAAATCCATATCTTGCGTATATATCTAAAGAAGCATAGCTAAACGTCCTTACATGAGATCTTGTAACAACCCTGTTATCGATCTGAATACGGCTCGGTGACATTGAGGCCTTTTTTGCAAACACATCAATGGTCTTTATCAAGTCTTATAATACACCAAACACTTCCTTTCATAAACCGCGCATATACATTCACAATTCATGACAACCTACGTCTCTTATCGCTTTTCACGGGATTCGAACGGAGTCTAAATGAATTTTTTTATCAGCTCCAATGTCTGTTTGGGCTCCTTAACTCGGGCGAATAAATAGCCAAAGCATAGTCAAGAGAACATGTTCATATATTGCCACTTCGTAAAGCCACTCCAAAGTAGTGACCAGTTGAGCCCTAAGTCTCTTTCTCTGTTGCCACAAAGCATGCTTCGGCTTCTTTTGCCTGACAGAGCTGTTTGTATGCCTTCTCTGCTTTAAGCCAATCTTCCTGTGCTGTCCGTTTCTATAGATCCGACGTGGCTTTTGCTTCTTTTAGTTCACAGAGCTTTTTGGACTTACAGAAATGTTTCTAGGTCACGCAACGCACCGACGAAATCAACTTAGAGTACCCATCTTAAAGAGTATCCCAACCAAGGCTATATAGAAGCCCAATGTTTTGTAATCTCCGGATACTTAGTGAAAATGTTAGTCTCGGTGTGATGTGCAATATTCATTCTGCACATCTTACTCTTTCGTAACTTTCATCTTTGGCTGGAGTTATCCCGACCTTCGGTGAGACATTCCACCTTGGTTATATGTTTTTTTCTCTTCTTCTTTGGCAAAGCTAACTTATTGGGAATTTCATGAGAATCACTTTGCTTTTGATTCGACTCTGCGTCGTGATTGCAATATGTCATACATCTTCTTAACTCCATAATGGCATCGTAATTATTGATTATTGAGTCTACATGATTCTCCAAATTTCAGCAACTTATATAACTGCACCAAATCTGCTGCAGTCCAAGATTTAAAACTGATTTACGTATATGCATTTTATTGTAATTTTGGTTATCTTCTATGCAAGTGCTTTTGGCTGCAATATTCCGTTTGAATCCTTGAAATGTTATAAAATCATTGAATTTTTTTCTCCTATTATTTCAAGACTTGTTTCGATTCATACACGGATTTTAATAACCTATAGAATGTATCAGACTGAATTTTTTTCAAAAATTCCATAGGCTCCTTCATAAAAATCATTTCATTCAGAAGGCTATAAATTTTTTTTATGATACTATACGTTTAATTGAAGATAAAAGTAAACAAAGGCACTACTTTAAAAAATGTACAATACAAAGAAACTTAGAAAAATGACCTCATATAATCAGCAAATTTTTTTATGGAAATCATCTGGCCATATATTTGGCCATTCGGATTTTTTCTATTCCATAATGGGATTTTATTTTAGTTTTTAAAAATGATTCAACTTCCATCAGTAAAATATTAAAAAAAACCTTCTTCAATTTCCAAGTTTTATTTGCAATTGCTAATAGGCTTGAGTGAAATGCATTCATGCCTATGCATTGAGGAGTTAACTTCATTATACGAGAGGTTTCAATATTCTCCAAAATCAAATCCTACTATCATCATCAAAAAATATATTTTCATTCTTTAGAAGTGTTGAAATTCCTTATTTTCCAAATCGTTCTAAAATAAAATAAGATCATCTACACATTTTTTATAAATCCAGTTGATCTTCATATCCTGGCTTGTGTTGAAATTTGATAATCTACTGTCATTCATCCGTGTACTTCATTGAGTTGACATAGTTATTGCCTCTGTAGTAATAACCCCTCGTGTCTCATTATAAAATTCATCATAACTCAATAATATATGGAGTAGAGATTTTGAGCTTTTTAATTGATTGATGATCTGATATTGTGACAGATAACATCGTTATTGAAAATTAGTTTATAAAGTGAAAGATGACACAATTTTTAACTTTTTATATAGTTTTGATGTATACACAGCATAGTTTTTGAAATTAGCATAAAGCTTATATATAATATTCCTTGGATACATGAGTAACTTTACGTTTTATAAAAATTTTAACAAAATGTAATTTGCTGAACTTTTGTGTCTTATCAAAAATAATATGATGTAATTAATGTATAAAAAATTATTATCAATAAAAATTAGCAACAAATTCATGCTAGTTGATCGATTCAACATGATAATCTATTTCAATGATGTTTGTTTTAACAATGTTTTTCAATTTTGAATCATGAATTTTCGTGAGATGGAAAATTGTTCTTTTTTGTTGATACTACAACTCAGTTTTTCCAAAAACATTTTATTTTTCAAAATTCATTTTCGCAGCTATTTCATTACTTTCTTTTGAGTCCGAATGTCGATTTAAAAATTTAATTATCAAAATACAAAGATCGTAAAATTTTAATATATACTTAATATAACATAATTCGCACAAAAAATATACAATCATCAAAGTATAAAAAATTTATATATTTCAAATAAATAAGTAAATATTCATTATATATTGCAAAAAATGTGAATGAGTTTAAAATTAATATTTCATTTCACCAAGAAAATGAATAAAAAAATTAAAAATATATAACTTTGAAATGAAAAATATTTTTCAAATTTCTTTTTTAGAAAAAAATGCCATGAAAATTTTAAAAATTCAGTTGATGATGAAAATTAATATTTTTTTGAAAAAATAATATATTTATTTCTTTTTTTTGTTATCTAATTGTGAATGCAACAAATGATTAATATCTTAACAAATATATCTTCACTATCGTTATTTATGTTTGAAAGATTCAAATGTTTTAAAATTATATTTAGAGTTCAAGATTTAAAGTTTCGATTCAATTGATAATTCAATTGAATTGAAGAGATCACGGCACGTGATGCTTCTGCTTCGTCTGTTTGATGTATCTATAGACCTCTTGACCTTGAGAGTCCACATGTCATAGCGCGTGCGGTACATATTTCCCATCGTCATGCTATTGTTATGTACCCGGCGGTTACCGCTGGGTTAAGGCTCGGAGGGTTTCCCATCCTTTTCGGTCCTTGCTTTGCCCGAAGGTGAACTGTACACACCTTGACGAAAGGGACTTGACTACGTGGATCGGATGCTACCACGTTGGAATTTAGGAAAGTCCCGTGGCAGGAAAACGAGCACCCACGCAGTGAGTCGGAGGGCGAGCTGGGCAAGAAAGGGAGCGCAAGGATGGTGGCCCATGTCTCTCTCTCTCTCGACCCTTCCCATTCTGCTCGACATCACACTCTCGAGGGCTTGTCAGGCCGGGCCTTGCGAGCTTGAGACGGGGATCGGATCTCAGACGGGCCAAGTGAGCGGGCAAATTTTGTCAATTCGTAGGCGGAGCGAGCGGTGGATTGCAGTCGAGTGCGTCGAGGTGTGTTGTGTAGGTTTCCATGGCCGCGCTGGTGCGTGCTGCGCGATCCAAGCTGCGGAGCGCATGGCAGCTGCAAGGTGCGGCTGCGTCCGAGCTCTCGGACGCTGCTGCCCAGACGATCTTCAAGCATGGTGGTCTGAGATCTCTGTCTGCCTTCGCGATCGATCATGCTCAGCGATCTCCCGCCGGAGCCCATCAGGTTTGTGCCACTGCCAGGGCATTTGATTTGATATTGGATTTTTGGTTCCTCGGTGATGATTAGTGAACGGGGCGCGAGTTGGGATTTCGGTGTGCCAAATTTCCAAGATTGGGGTTGAGACGGCGTATACGTCGGAACGTCTGTAGACTGGTCGACAGATTGTGTGCAGTACATGAACTAGGTTTACTGCTGGTGGGGATCGCTTACGCGTAGGGTTAGTTTGCTTTAGATGCACTCCTTTTGTGAATATCACTTTGTGGATTTTTGTTGGACTCTGTTTGCTTCAGCTGATTGGGTAAAGGTTTGTCAATCCTGAGTGATTTCGAATCGCAATCAACTGGATTTTAGTGATTCGTGCAGAAGATTGGTCTCTCCACATATCGCATTTTTCCTGTGTCGGGGAATTTCGGCGACTGGTGCGGTTTTTGTAAAACACCATGAACTTGTGCGAAGAGAATGCGGGTGAAAGTGTTTTTGAGTAAATTGAATTTGTGGATTCTGAGAGCTGGTGATTATGATTATCAGGATGATGTGCCATCAGCAAGGAGAGATTACTCAACGGAACTTACGACTTCCAAGAAGAAGGAAATTAAAAATTTCACTCTCAATTTTGGACCCCAGCATCCTGCCGCTCACGGTGTGCTCCGATTAGTTTTAGAAATGAATGGGGAGGTGGTGGAGCGAGCAGAGCCCCATATTGGGTTGTTGCACAGAGGCACTGAGAAGCTCATTGAGTATAAGACCTACCTTCAAGCTCTCCCCTACTTTGATCGTTTGGATTACGTCTCCATGATGGCTCAAGAGCATGCATACTCTTTGGCCGTGGAGAAACTGCTGAATATCGAAGTGCCTCTGCGTGCACAGTACATTCGAGTGCTGTTCTGTGAAATTACGAGGCTGCTGAACCATCTTCTCAGTTTGACCACACACGCCATGGACGTTGGTGCCTTGACCCCTTTTCTGTGGGCTTTTGAAGAGAGAGAGAAGATGATGGAGTTTTACGAGAGGGTTTCCGGAGCTAGGCTGCACGCTGCTTATATCCGACCGGGTGGTGTAGCGCAGGACATGCCCTTAGGGTTGAGCGAGGACATTTTTCTATTTTCACAGCAGTTTGCTTCTCGTATTGATGAAATTGAAGAAATGCTCACCAACAACCGTATCTGGAAGCAGCGACTTGTAGACATTGGTGTTGTCACGGGTGAGGAAGCGATGGATTGGGGCTTCTCAGGTCCAATGTTGAGGGGTTCTGGTATCAAGTGGGACTTGCGAAGGGCGTCCCCTTATGATTGCTATGACAAGCTGGAATTCGACATTCCAGTTGGGACCCGTGGGGATTGCTATGATCGCTACCTTGTCAGGATAGAGGAAATGCGCCAGAGTATCCGAATTATTGCTCAGTGCTTGAACGATATGCCCACGGGTATGATTAAGGCTGATGATAGAAAGATCACCCCTCCATCCCGCACTCAGATGAAGCAGTCTATGGAATCTCTCATTCACCACTTCAAACTCTACACCGAGGGTTACCATGTACCTGCAGGAGCCACCTACACTGCCGTAGAGGCACCCAAGGGTGAGTTTGGTGTTTACTTGGTCAGCAATGGTACCAACCGGCCTTATCGCTGCAAGATTCGGGCTCCTGGATTTGGTCATCTGCAAGGTTTGGATTTTATGTCCAAGCATCACATGCTGGCAGACGTGGTGACAATGATTGGTACCCAAGATATTGTGTTCGGAGAAGTCGATAGATAGAGTCCTTGCCGTGTTCCTTTTGTTACTGGTACTTACAGAAATCATTGTTCACGCATAATGATACGCATGGACGAGAATTGGAAGGATTGACTTGTAGAATCTGTGCAGAGTTTGCAGCCTCTAGCTGTCCTTAAAGGTAGTAGATTGCTCTTCATTGGCCTCAACATTCAAGTGCATACTGATCTCATACAGCGGGTTCGGGGACACGGATTTGAGATAATGATCTAGGTCGTGAATAAACAAATCATCACGAACAAAGTTTTGGAAGCAGGTAGCCGTTGGAACTCGTGGCTGTTTGCATCATTCAGGTATTCATCTTACAAATTTTATCTTAGAACTCACCAAGAGGCCTATCATCATGTTGACTGTGAAGAATAAATGGCTTGACGTGTCTTCAGATCTACAGTTATAGATGTTACAAACCTGATGTGAATTTTCTCTTCCTGTCTTCAGCCCACTAGCATCCCTCTGATGCCTTCACGAAACAGACGTGCATTGTGAAGAATACGGCCTCCTAACTCAAAGTTTCATGTCAAGCCTTAAACTGCTTTGTTACCACTAATGCGGCGTTTGAGCAAGAAATACTGTAATTGTCGTTTCTTAATAAACCACAATGCTTCTCAGCATAGTTGAGAAAGGAAGATCAGAACTGCTGCATTTTGCCATGTATTTTCAACTTGATTAGGCCCGGACGGGACACCTAGCCAACGATTTATCTTTAGGCCATACAGTATCTTATTTTCCTACCACATGCCTACAAGCGACTGGGCCGATTCACTTTCACCGATTGGTTTGATTCTGAAGAAGAGTGGAGGTCCTTATTAGGCCTTGGAATGAGATGAGCATCGATCATGTTAGCTGGAGTATGTGAAGGTAGTGAACTAGCTTCCACGAAAGTTGGAGCTTGTTTTTGGAGGCATGAATGAATCGGAGTTATTTTCTCTCAATATAGTTGTTTGGAGTTCTAGGAACTTGTCTATTGCTGAGTTCTCTTCTTTTGCTCTCAACTTCTGAGATACATGTGTATTCAGTGGAATCTTAAAGCTTAGTTTTGGCAGTGTTTCAACGATTTTAGTTATCTCCACGTAGATCAAGTTTTTCATTTGTCATTTGATCATTGTTTGAGAGAAAATGAATGTTGCTGGCTTGAAGTGGCAATCCTCGTAATTTTGTATGGAAGTATTGAGCATTTGTAGTTGTTACTGCGCATCTATAAACCGGAAGCTGCAGGTGATTTAGAGGTCATGTGCAGTTTCATCGTTCAACCTGTTTAATGTTGAAGGTATTTACAGTTTTCCAATGTACCTAGTGACACATCAGCTACATGATCATATCTCCCGGCACATTTGTGTGTTGTGGACAGGTCTGTTTAGAGCAGTATCCAAACACCTCAAAAGCGGTTGCAGTGTTTGGCCGACGTCGCAGTGAATGAACTGCGAGCCAAAACTCACACGTTTTATACTTCTAGATTCCGTAAAGAGCTTAAAGTAAGTGCATTACTTCAGGTTGGTGCCTCATGTTCCAGGGAACGTAGTTTGCTCTACGGTGTCTTATAGGATCTGGTCGCCTACCGCAGGTGCACCAACTGCTGTTTTTAAGTGGAAGCGTGTCTTTGGCAGAATTCGGCTGTGTACTTTTCTGCACATTACCAGACTACCATTTCTACGAGAATGCCATTGAAATTTTCATCTTCAATAAAGATTTTGTATGGCGGGCATGAGGTTTAGAATGATGACCCAGAAGTCTTCTCTTCCCAACCCAAGCTTTGGACGAAATGTGATAAAAGGCTCCAATAAACCGAACATCTTTGACAAATTTTTGCAGTTGAAGAATGCTTATTGTACAGGTCAGCAGCGCGGCAGCAGCAGATTTCCACCTTCAATGACTTCTGGGAGTAAAGTGCGCTACCTTGCTCTCAGACTTGCACTTTGCAACAGATTAATTTGGCTAAAATTTCAGACGTAACGTTTCATTCATATTGGAAATGTGAAAATTTACGTTTCATTTGTTTATTCTGCACATTGACATACAACCTGATTGTTAGGATTTTCACGATCCGAAGAGGCTGGCAAAAGGTTTACTTCAAGTCTATCATTCCGTTCGATTATTGAACACCCATAACAGCATGAATATAGCTCATGAAGTTTAGTGATGGAATGGATAGGTTGATCTTCTACATTAGAAGTTGAAGCTCGAGATGGAAAGCTTGACGAATTGATGCAGCGATTCGCAAGATCTCATGACAAAATACTCAAGTAACATTGAAAATGCTAATCATCATCATCAAGCAGACAAAACCTCTCAACTTAAACCCTAAACAACCCTCAAATAAAACTTGCAAGGTATAAACAAATCACTTTTTCATTAAGTGTACTTCTATTTATATAGATTTAGTAATCTCGCGATCTTGATGCATGGCTTTGTACATCTCATTTAGTATTTCTTGCAAAGACACATTACCATTCATAAGCTCACATAGCTCTTTAAACACCAGTTTATCACACTTAACGAAAAAGTAGATGTGAGCACTTGCTTGCAAAAAACTTTAGTCTAGGTTTATTTTTTACATGGACTATCTACACATACTGCCATTCGTGGCATAAATTCTCATTTGGTTGGAATCGCTTCGACTATTCAAATTTCAATTTGATATCTCGTGATTATACTTTTCTTATTGTATCAGATCATTAATCACATAATGATCAAATTACACCACAACAACATCTGAGATTTAAGTTTTTTCATTGTTAGTACATGAAGTTTGAAAACTCTCACACCCTTTCAATGATCTTCACTCATGGAAAAAAACATATCTATTGACAATAATTTTACAAGTTATTGGATCTCATAACTGCTAATTTTTTTTACTCATGATACAATATTTGCATAATGCTTTGTCAACTCAGTCCATATCCTATAACACTTTACTCTTGTCAAAGAGTGACATGTATCTATCATTCATGTGACATAGCCTGAATTGTCTTATATGAAACTTCTCAACTCAAGATTTGATGAAGTAAACTTCTACACAAATAATATTGCTCTCTAGCAAATATAGATTATTGTGATTATATACTCAAAGGATTATCTTATCATATGATCTAACATCTAGCATGCATTTTTTAGAGTTTCATTCTAGGCAGTGTGTATTTTACATAACAAAAAGATCAAATTCTTTCTCATTTTAGCTATAAATCTAACTTTGATCACTATACGTATTCCATCAAACATTAGAATTTTCAGAGATTCAATACTCTCAATTGTGCATGGTTGATACTTCTCCATAAAAACTTAGCCGTCTGATCTTGAAAAAGTACAAAAGAACCCTCTATTGTAGCAAATATGATAAAAACAAGTGTTGTCTAAAATCCATCAATAATCTTTGCTAAGGATATAACTCTAGCATCATAGGCCATACTCGAGCAGGTTGTCCTCCTCAGGTTCGAAGCATTATGGTAACGTTTGCCACTGCTTCTTTGATTTTCACTTGACCGTCTTTCTTGATGTGGACACTCTTGCCACATCTTCAACAAATCATCATCTTACTCTTAGAGAATTTATACTTGGATTGAAATCTCTTCCTCTCAAGGATGGTACTCTTGGACCTATATCTTGTACTCTTGGATTCAACATGTTTCAAATCGTTTTCACCCTTCAAACGTGACCGACATCGGATCATAGTTAGTGCCAATGCGGATATGAATGGATATTTTAGCTCATCTGTCAAGCAGTCACTTATAACCTTGTTGTAAGTTATGATCTTCATATCACGGTGGAGGAGTATATAGAATAGTGTGTGGTATGATGATCACAATAAGCTGAGAATATATAGAGACTTCTTCTCGTCAAAAATCTTCTCGCCTAGATTTTGGAGATCTATTGTCAGATAATCGTGTGGATGTGATCTTAGATTTTAATCCCTAATCTCATCAACTTCAAGTATGTGTATAATATGTTTGAAAGTTTTCTTTAATAGAATATTACATCCATAAGTAGTGTAATCTTTGCATACTCTTTGTTTCATTCATTCATTTGTTTCATAACTGTTGAATTCATGGTGATCATTTATTATATATCATATAGTATGTCAAAAGATCCACATACGATATCTATATTATTTAGTATTGCTTGTTGATGCATATAAATTTTTAAAAATGAAACATTTCACATTACTTTTATCTTCTTTGATAGATATATCAAGCATATTTTTTCTAACATCATCAGCTCATGGAATTTGATTATAGCAAGACATTTGAACCAAAAAAATGGTTTGAATTTTGTGTAAAAGTAAAATTATTAATTCTGAAAACTAACATACTTTTTTAGTTTGATTTTTTGCATTTTTTTAATCTTTTTGAGTTCAAATTTTGATATATAGCATAATATTTTACCTCTATGTATTTTAAATTGATAAAATAAAAGAAAATTCTAGAAATAAAGAATGAAACTTCTTTTTTAACACATCAAAGTAGATTTTTATTTTTTTATTATCATAGATTAGAATTCCAATATGTTTTACATACATTCAATGCGGATTGAATATTTAACATTCTAATTTTTGAAAATAATAAAAGTTTGTGGATTTTCACTCTTTCATGCTTTAAAACAATTTTCATTCACATAGATTACTAAATTAACCATCAATTACTTATTTGGCTTCAAATTATATATTAATCATGTATTTATATGAAATATCTCACATATGCTATGTCTTTAACTTGATGCAAGTTCGCATATAGAGTATATAAATCATGACATTGTTAATGATGTTATGTTTACTATTATGAATGAAGCTGGATACTTCAAATGAAAAAAAATTAGATTATATTGAACAAATAAGTTTTAGACCAACATTGTATATGATTCATAAAGATCAAAATACAGGTGAAATTATTGTACACATTGTATTTACACATTATACAATTTTAGAAAATGTTATTTGTCATCTTTTTTGATGAGATCCAAAAGTTACAATATCAAGTAGTGTTCCATATTATGAATGTATATAATGATTTGACCTCTTTGATTCTCTACACCTAAGGTTATATGAAATTATGGATTCAAATTTTGACATTTTCAAGTAAAAATACACAAAAAATCAAAATTTCTTGATTAGAATTTCAACTTCTCAAACTTCTTTAGTAGAGTATTTGAATCAATAAGAATATTGGGTAAGAAAAAGTGTAAGTAATGAAAAATAGTGAAGCTCATGAAAAGAATCGGGTTATCATAAATTTCTTTCATTCTTTTCATGATTTAATTGTTTGTAGACTATTTTATCTCATCAATTACAACATAATATATTTATCATTTTTTTTCATTTATCTCTAGCCACATGTTATTCCATCCTTTTTTCCATAACAATTGATGAAAAATCATTAGGATAATGCCAAGTCATTAGAATAAGAAGAAGTTAGAAGTAGATCATTCTTATGTCATTAACAAATTAGAGAGAAAATCAATCGTGGAATTCCATGAGAAACGCAAAACACTTACTCATATCCATCACAATTTATTTTATAATGAGACCACAAACGACACTGCAGCCCACCATAACCCATATTCCAATAAATATACTTGTAATCTCATAGTTGGCGTCTACAGTGTGAGGGGAGGGACTCACCCTATCGGGCCTAAATATTTTTGTAATATTATTCGGCCATGAGATTAAAATCTTCCCCTAATTACAATTCTGCCCAACTTGAGATAACACAAATAATAACAATAATCAAATAAGTAGTTTTATTTTGCAGACCGTTCACCACATTCGTTTCTGGCCTCCGCGCTGCCTTCGTTCATCGAAAGGGAGGGGGGGCCGGCGCTGCTTTTCACCTATCAGGTTGAAGGCGTAAAAAAGAAACTTTTGAAACCGATAAGATTCATAAAAGTTTTTGTAGTCAATTACTAATCCACCACAATCTAGTTACAATTTCGAATCATGAAAAACTGCAATTTAGAATAGCCAAGCAAGTAATAAAATTATCATGCACACTTTTACAGTGATAAATTGAAGCTCAGTTTATTATTTTTTGTCCTCTCTCCTTCCTTATTGTCGTTTTGATCGTTGGGGTAATTCGTTGTATATATCAAGATTAAGAGCTCGTCACTTTACATGTAAATTTTGTTCGAAGAGCTACTGGATTTCTTAGAATTTGGGTTTGTGGGTAGTTCGTTGATATGTTTTGAAGTTCGTGGTTGTTTCAGAAGCTACGTTGGACGGAACTCTATTAGCAAAGATTGTATTTGAACATGGATGACATGTGACTGCATAACTCTCAGGTACCATCCAATATTTTGTATAAGACTAAATTCTCCTGATTTAGCATAACATAAAACTGCAGAGTAACATAACTCTATCACTTAAATACGTATAACATTTCTTTGAACCTAAGTACGTATTAGTATCGAATCTGAGGATTTTAATTACTGAAATTGGAGAAACATTTACACATTTGCATCAATTTCAACTCTTAGACATTTTAGCTGATCAAGTACTGTAAGATGAAGATTCAAATTTTTTTTATACTTAATCTGATCATTTGGTCTCTAATAGAAATATAAACCATAGGTACAAGAAGACCTCAGGAAATAGTCCAGTCATTTAGATGCTATGGATTTGCTGCAGTTGTAACATCCGGGACAAGGATCTTTTGCCTGCATGGACAAAGAACATGGTGAGACGTCGAAGATTGAGTCTGGGAAAAGGATGTAAAAGGGAAACGCTGAGGAGGACGACGGCGGATTTTTAACCAGAAGTTGTGATTGGCGAAATCTGGCTTTTCTTTCAAAGTCATCTGGACACAAACAGAAGCGATGGGAGAACAAGTGTATCTCATGACTGCGTCGTACGTGGAATCCTCAACCGTGCACTTCTCGAAGGATTAGTGTACTATGAACACCCTCCTTTTGGCTCAACATAACAGATTCTTGGTTGTCACAAGGAATAAAAGAGTCAGATAGAATATTATAGGCAAAGGGACCGGAGTACTGTGCATACACTGTAAGTGAAACGTGAGACGAAATCTATCGTCAATAATGGGAATCGACGGTTTCCGTTTGGTTGCAGTTGAACGCAAGTCGTCTCTCAGCTCTTGCACAGGGAGTTGTTCCAGTGAAAGGTAGGAGACGAGAAGAGTACGCCTTGAGAAGCAGAGTGTGAGAAAGAAATGAGTTCGTGTGCATCACCATCACATTTATGATGTAATTGCGATCGAAAAGTTTGATTCTCTTCTACGATGCAAGATTAACGCTTTTCTGAAATATCGATTGGAAAGAAGAAGGCTCGATCGAAATGTCACTGGTTAGGTGTCAATTCTAAAATTTTAAATTTCAAATGCGCAGAGGAATAGAGTGAAGCAGGGCAGGTGGAAGTGGTGATTTGTGAGAGGCATCTTGTTCAGGCAGTAAGTAATTTGTATCTCTGGAGGTGGCCTGTCATGATGACTGATCGGGAAGAACTCAGACGTTCGGAAGTTTGGCTGTGCCAACCTGTCTATGGATGCGGAGGGGATTGTGAGATGTTTCGCCGGCATGGGTACCCTCGCCCAGAAGATGAGATTCGTGAGAGCTATGGTTCCTGATGTTCATAGAAGATCGAATGCAGTTTCACACTCCATAATCTAGGTGGGCTCTACATCTCAGAACTTTGAATTTTTCTGTGAATGTCCTTGTGTTTTGTGAGGTAGCTCTCTCTCCCACTCTCAAGTACATGGTTTTGGTCTATCAGTTGTTTAATCCTATGAAAGAAATCAGTAAGCCCACGGAGGAGCTATTAGAAGCTTTGCTTATTTCCCACCTTTTTTCTTAGGATAAGCTGGGCCAAAACCTTGTCCAAGTCATTAGGGTTCAATTTCAAAGCCTTTTGTCTTGTCTATGCAAGAGAGATTGAGTCGAATGTCGATGCAAACTGTGTTGTTGGCCTGGAAGTAATACATGCATTAGACATCATAACCTTGTTTTACAAGTTCGGAGCTGAATTCAAATTTTTGGACAAGTCTTAAATTACCCACGGTTGATGCTGTCTGATGTTCGTCAGTAAATTCGCTGGTCTTTTGGTTCTAGCTCAATGGTTTGGTCTAGTACGAATTTCGGCATCTCAAACGGCATGGATGTATGGAGCATTGAACTAAGACTTGAATAAATAAGATTGCAGTGTCATGGCTCACAAGAACAATGCCGTTGAAATTTAGGAACATTATAATCCAATACAAATATAAAGGTTCAGAACATTCCAATCCACTGAAAGTAGTAGTAGTTTCAATGTTGTAGTTTCAAGTAAAACTGTTCTTCACTGTTGATATTCCAGTATCATTTACAGAAGCTTTTTGTATTGGTTTGTTACAGGTAGGATGGCCATACATTGCTGGTTGATCTACTGCAGTGAACGACAAATGATTGTTTTTTGCACATTAATTTGGAAGTTACTGGGACGTATACATAGCTGACTATCTTATGAGTGTTGCAGCAGGACAAATATTGGAGATGAAGCCTGGTGAAAACGTGTGGGATGCTATTGCAGCAGATCTAGCTGCCGTTACAGCTGCCACTAATGGCTCTGACGAGATAGCAGACGAAGATATTAGAGTGGAAGTACAGAAAGTGAAAATCGCTGAACTTTCCCATACATCCGATTCTCTTGAATTAGAATCTGGTGTAAACAAGAGCCATGATTGTACTGGCAAAATAGAAACCAATGATTTGCATGCTGATGGTATATCTGACTCTGGATTAGATTGTTCATCCAAGCCTTTGCTTGAAGGGGCACACAGTGGGGTAAAGGTGGGAGATGAGTTGAATGTGGACTCTCTACTTTGCCAAGAAGAGGCATCTGAGGCGAAAGACGATTATGCCCAAAACGTTGTAGAGACTCTTACATGTTCAACAGAAGAGGATGCAAACAACCATAGTCGTCATGTAGCTGATGAAGAGAAAAAGGGAAAGGAGGACAAGGGTGGAAATATCCTTGGAAAAAGGAATCGTAAATTAAACCACAGAGCTACCAGAAGTTCTGGAAAGAAACTGAAATTACAGGCGCCAGTGAATAGTGATGCAGGGGATATCTCTCATAGAGATAAGCAGGATGTCACTATATCATCTGAAGGATCCTTGTCGAAAGCTCAAAACTTACAGAAGAAGCCTGAGTGGAATGAAGCTGACGGCGCCAACATCCATTCCCTGCCTGAATTAGAAAAGCTTCAACGTGTATTTACATCTCTCAACACTGCTTGCGGATACCTGTTAAAGCAGCAGAAAATTGCATCTTGGGAAAACGTGAAGCAAGCAATGAAGCAGTTATCTGGGGCAGACAGTGAAACGATTAGTGTTGATGACGTTCGGCGCTTGTCACAACTGTGTCCTCAGGTGACTTTCTTTAGATTCAAAAATTTCCATCCATTGATCCTCCAATTTGAAATTTCATCATCTTGCATATTTTCACTTTACAGCGTACAAATTAGAAACCATAGAGTTGCTCAATACCAGAGTTGCCCTCAAACTTGCCTATCAGCAGTTCGTATGAAAGATCAGCAGGTGAAGATTCGCAAGACTGCTGTCGATTGATGCTCGTAGGGCTACCTTCATAGGAGTCAAAGGGGTGAAAACTTAATACGTTTATCAAATCTAAAAGCTCATTATCATTTACCGATTTCAAATTCCAAAAGTTCGTTCGAACTACTGGTGGAATATCTGTAAACTCAGCCTAATACGCTGGACGTATCTGTGCAGATTGTCGTGCTAAGTCAATTTAGCGGTGAAGGAGAGGACATTAGTTTTCAGATAGAGCTTTTCGATCCTGCAGATGGTGTGAAATTGAATCCACCCAACAGCTCAAATGGAAGTACAGCTGTTGATGCTCATGACGGTGGCACCTCCAAGAGCATATCAGGTAAAGTATGTACGGCTCTTATGTTATTTACAATAATCTTATTCTTGTGTGTTTGCTATCAAATTTCCTTCATTATTTAGTGCTTGTAGTTCAGAACATTGCTAATTTTCACATGAAAACAACACCGAAAAGTGATGAAAGATTCTATCTAATTAATTTTCATTTTTAACAATGTATTTAGAAATATATTGATATTTGCTCTTTATTCAGATCAAACAGTTTCCTAATTGTTGTCTCATGCGGTTCTATGTTCTGAAGCCGGGAAGAAGATCGGTGATTCTGAAGCTAGAGTTATAGTAGAAAGCCGTCAGAAAGCATTCCAAATGTCACTTGCGCAAGTGGCTCACCAATTTCAGGTGACAATTAGAAACTTTAGACAAGAGTCATGTTGTATGCTACTTCTGTGCCGCTTAATTTTCTGTTTACTTACTATTCCTACGGTTAGTGGAGAAAGCGTCCTTTGGTGTCACCGAAATTAGATCTCTGGAGAATGAACAGCATCAGCTTTGCATGAGAATCATCAGTTTGATGTGCTATGTAAAGTCTGTATTAACCTTCTAAGGGCATCTTGGACTGCTATCAAGATTCGATCTCTTTCACAAGGAACCCCAGTAACACCCAAAACTGTTGACATTCTTTCTTTGATCGTCCGATGATCCTACTTATTTATCTTACTTTCATTTCTTTCGCAGGCTCCCCAGAGTACTTCTGTTTCTGTAGGTGGTGATGAGCATCTAAAACACCCTAAACTTCCACACCCTGCAATGCTACGGCATCCAACCCATGAGGGACGTCACTCAATGGTCCCTGCTCTTATCGGGCCGCCTGCACAACAACTAGTTCTCCCACGCCCTCCTCTTCTCCCCCAACAATTACAACACAGCTACGTAAATATGTCTGATGCTTACCCCGGCCTGCCTTTCCCTTTGCCATTTCAACCTACAAATGGTTATGGACCTTTCGGTAGTTTCCCTCAGCCTCAGTGCAACAATTACGCTGGATATCAACTTTCTAACCATCCTTCTTCCATTCCATCAAGTTCCCAGCTCTCTTCTATGCCTATGCAGAGCAATGTACCTCATAGATCTCCATCCACGACGATAATTCCCCTTCCCATATATGCAGACACGCCAGAGGCACCTTCTGCTCCTGAACCCTCTCCTTATCACGGACTTTCATTGAACAAAGCCAAGCGCAGGCGATCACGTAATTGGGATACGTGGGAGGTTATACTTTTAGTTCAAGCGAAAAAGTATGAGTGGGAACGATCGGAATGCTCATCTGGTAAAGACCGAGTTGAGACTTCAGGTGAAAGGTGGAAAAAAGTTGAAAAGTTTTTGAAAGAGAACAAGGTCGTGGATAGAGATGGTATTGCCTGCAAGAATAAGTGGGAAGCAATACTTAGTGATTACAAGTCCATCAAAGACTGGAACCGGAAACCAGGGAACACCGTGTATAGTTTACTTAGTCCCGCAGAGAAAAAAGCAGCCAACTTGCCCGCAGTGTTCGTTTCCAGCCTTCTTGAGCTTATGGACACCTTCCAGGGAAAAGCGTGTCACATTTCACCTCCTTCGGTGCTCGACCCCCTCGGCAAAACCAACCCTGCAGTAAGTGGAGGAGATGCCAGTCGTGCTGAAGAACATAGTGGAGAAGCACACCCTAGTGCTCATGGAAACGGAACTCATGGATCCGCAGGTAGACGGAAGAAACCAAACGGAGGCTGGTCGCCGCTTGTAGCTGCCTTTGATAGGTTGTCAGCAAATATGTTAAACATTGAGAAAGGGAGGGATGAAAGGTCGGAAAGATTGTGGGCTCTCGAAAATAGGAAATATGATTTGGAGAAAAATAAATATGAACTACAAGCAAGGAAGGTAGATGCCGAAAGAGAGGACAGGAAAGGCTTGGTGCGGGTCCTTGGGAACCTGGCTGGAGCATTCCACAGGATGGCAGATAAGATGTAGTATAAATCCTACTGGTCCTATACTTGTACAGCTGAATTATGTGTGTGCTCATAGGAACTCATATCTTTGATGAATATCCCAATCTCATGTCAATATTAATTCTTTTTGAAGCAGAAATTTGACTTCCGTCCATGCAAAGTTTGTCTGACTTCATCCTTCATTCGGAAAATTATCACAGGTCTGTGACACTTTTGTGAATTTCTGGGACGTTGTCCTGTATATACCTCTTTACCATGTATGGAAGTTGCAAAAGGTTTGAAATGGCTATGTTCATGTCTTAATTTCTGATTCTCGGGAAGTTTCATACATGAGCCTGATGTAGGTATGAGGTCTAAACTTTGACAGGTCACTTCTGATTCAAATCGTGCATATGTTAAGAGATCCATATAGCAGCATTTTCTCTTACTAATCATATAGCTGATTTAGGTGGATTAGAATAAAGTAGGAAATTAGATTGTCTTCGTAACAACATCTCCATTTTTACTCTCATAAAGGACTGCCTCTCCAAGATCTCGACTCACTGACTGGAAGATCAGTAGGACAGCATAGATGACTTCCACTACATTGTAGATATGCAAGGCTGTCAACATCAGTTAGATTCAGTAAGACTTCATATGGTTTTCTATGATACAAGTGAAGTAATCAGCGTAGGATGGGTCTTTTGTTGGAGTTGATAGGACATGAATCCATCTCTCATTAATTGGACAGCTAGAGGAGATATGACATTCGATAAGAAGGCAGCAATGTTGTGCATAGGCATAGACTCACAAGCAGCAGACGGTGGTCAAGTCGCGGACCCATGGCTTGGTTAAACGGGGGCTAAGATCCCTTTGCTTGAGCTGCATGCGGGGAACTCGCGATTCCACAGTTGAATGACCCTACCTATCTCTACTGTATATATTTTCCTTTTTCCTTAATAAAATGTAAGATTTCTAACATATGGGTCTTTTTACACCAAAACCTCACTTGGCTTCGAAGCAACCAATATTGATTGATACTTTGTTGATGGTGTATGGTCTTTTAGCTTTGTTTCTACATACTGGTGTACTGAAATTAAGAAAAAGCACATACCTTGAGTCTACCTTCATATGGTGGTAAAAGCTTAGAGCAAAAAAGGGAGAGAACCCCTGATCCATGTCATGTAAACAGCTTGGCATACTTTCCTCCAGAAGTTTTGCTTACACAATACAAGGACAAAAGTAGGATTTAGCCATAGCCATGCATTTATGCCAAAAGATCCCAAGGTCTTACCCAAGACTTTGGAAGCTCAATTTCTAAGATATTGTATGACAAGACATACATATGTTTGCAAGCCTTGTGAAAAACGTTGCAGATTTTATTTCTGCTTAGAGAGATTTATAGGTGATTGAAAAATATCAATCTTTCGCTCAAAAGATACAAGCTACAACCTCTAACGTTTGTTTAGTCTGGGTCAGTAGGGGTACGACGTAATCAAATACAACAAGCTTTGTGGCAGTAAGGTGAAGGACAAGTGGAAGGTCATGGATCACGCCAAGATTTTGAGGTCAAAACCATCCAACTACATCGACATAATCAAATACAACAAGCTTTGTGACAGTAAGGTGAAGTACAAGTGGAAGGTCATGGATCAAGCCAAGATGTTGAGGTCAAAACCATCCAACTACATCGACAATGATTGAATTTTTTATTTTTTTTAAAAAACCTAGTATTGTCATACTTCATTTGCAACCTTTAGTATTGAAGCAAATGTATGAGTATGACAAATATAACATTCTTTGTGAAACCCTTGAATGACAATTTTATCGCAAAAAGCTATTTAACAGGTTGTAACTTCCTTGAAGCTGATGAGCTTCAAAGATGAAAGATTTTGACACGAAGATCCAAGATCACATCGATGCATTCGATGATCTTTAGAGTCTTGGACAGGAAATAGTTCATGAAAATACAAGAAAAAATGTCATCTTATTAATCACTATCATATGATAGTGATCAAGAAAAATAACAAGTTAAAGGATTATACTGATATGTTTTCACCTATAGCAAAGTATGTTACAATTTGTTTTATATGTGCACTTGCAGTCTTATTTAATCTTGTTATAGATAAGATGGACGTAGTTTCAGCATTTTTCTATGAATCTCTAGAGGAAAAAGTCTACATAAAACAAAAGGTTGGCTTTGAAAACATTTTTTTAGAGAAATTGGTTTGTAGATTGCTAAAATAATTTTATGGATTGTAGCAAACTACTTGATAGTGGAATGCAAGATTTGATGAAATCATGAAAGCATAAGGTTTTTCATAGAGTGTGTATGATTCTTGTGTATACTGAAAAAGATTAATAAAGAGATCTTCAATCTTATTACTCTAGTATTCTACATGGATGACATGCTTATCTTGGCGACGTTGAAAGATGCAAAAAGCAATTGAAGTCTACATTCAATATGAAAGATTTGGGTTAGTCCAAGAGTATATTACAGATGAACATTTATAGAGATTGGATGAAGAAGAGTCTATGATTGAATCAAGATTGATACAATTAATGTGTGTTTGACAAGTTTAACACGGTAGACTCTAAAGTAATATGAACTCCTTTAACAACATTTTGTAAATTTTTCAATGTTCAACTAATGTTATTGAGAATTTAAAGATGTCATATGTTTATTACTAGCTGTGAACAGTCTCATGTATTTGATGGTGTGGACAAAGCGTGATATTACTCTGACAATGTTCAAGATAAACATGTACATGTCAAATCTTGAAAAAGTGCACTCGGAAGAAGTGAAATGAAATCTCAAGTATTTGAAAACTACTAAGTATAATGATTTATTGTTTGATGATTTTTAATCAATGCATGTATTTACACTTAATTATGGATGCATTAGTTAGAAAAAAATCTTGCAAAAGTGCATTGTTCAGTATACAATAAAAGTCGAATATGTAAGAAAAGCATAAGCAAAAAAAAAACTATTTTGTTATATAAACTTATCAATGAGATAAGATTGAAACATGAGGTTGTCAATCTTCACCATGATAGTCCGAATGCATTATATCTTGCTGCAAATCAAGTGATGAACATCAGACTTAAAGACATTGACATCATGTATCACTTTATCAAACTTGCAATTTTTGATAAAAAAGAAAGCTAATCACGATTGATGGTAAATTCAATTTAGCTAATGCGTTGACCAATGTTATTCTTTGGAGAGCTTAAATAGACATTGTGCTACTATGCACATTTCACATTAAGAGCTCAAGTAGAATTTTCTAGCAATCTTTGGCTACGTCTTAGTTCTAGTTAGCTCTAATTTAAAGAGATACCTTTGTTAGGCTTACTTCTAGTACTTTTCGCACAATAATTACATAGGCTAAGCAGGTTATTGATCCCCGACCTATATTAAGGGGGAGATTGTTAGGTGAGCTCTTATAAAAAGTAATGCATCGGGAGTCCTCTCTATATACGGCACATACGGAACTTTTGAGTCAAAGTTCCGTATTTCGTTTTCTTAAAGTTCCGTATTTGGATCATAAATGACTTCGTTCACTTTGGAGGCGCTACTAACTACTAACAAACTTAAACGGCAGGTACCGTTTCGAACATTATTTGACTTGAGAACCTTCCCACACACACTCTTCGCGAAATCAGTTCCAATCCATCTCTTTGTGCAGGTACAAGGTGTTCAAAGGTCGAGAGAGAGAAAATTCGAGCACGTATGAAGCAGTGTATGATCCGATGAAAAGATTTTCCATTCTTCTCCATTCTTCGTGGCGTAGATGCTACAAATGATCCAGCAAATGCATCGCTTCTTTGACAATTCGGAACGAGATAGGATGAACCCGGAACCGCGCGATAGCCTCCGAGTTTTTCCATGCCAAGAAAACGAGAGGGGAATACTTCTCCCTTGCTGATAACAACGTCCACGTCTCTTGTGCAGTGGTTCAAAAGTCAGGCGTCATACTCCGGTGTAGAGAGCAGCGCAGAAAAGTTATGTTGTGGCATTCCGGGTTTGAGAGCTGATCGTTGCTACTACAGCAAGTTTTTCAGGTAGGCAAAGTCACCCGTACAGGCGTATTGTGAGGCGCTTTGCTCTTCTAGAAGAAGAGCAAAGCGGACGATCTCTTGAGTAAGATTTTGGTTTCTATTTTCACTGGAGTAGCTAAGGTTGTCTGTGATATGTCACTCCCATTTCTCTTAAAGGTATATTACACTGTCGTCAAATTTGAAATTTATTAAAGAAAACATGACAGATTTATGTCATGTTCCGTATGTTACTTATTTTGTTTTGAAAATGTTCCTTATTTTGACGAGATACGGAACATAAAGATTTCGCCCTATATAGAGAGGCCTGTGCATCGGTGATGCATTGTTTGTGACAGTGAGTTTACAATAGCAGGAAAATTGACTTTAGTATTTCAGTTGAATTTGCTATGTCTCTATTTAACTACTTAGCCCGATGAGTCTGCTTGTTACGTAATATATTGTCTATGTGTTCTTATGATCATTGGCAGAGGGAGAAATCAAAAAATATCCTATGTCTTATGGTATGGGTTCTAACTATCTCGTGTGAAATTACGCAATAAAAAACTGACATGATACTATGAGTTACACACTAATAATATACATATCATTTCCCATCAACACACATGCACACATACATTTTTACTTACCAACCATATGAAATTGGTGACTTGAAACTTGAAGATTATCTACCACAAGTCAACTTCATTTTGACTAACCTTTACTTTAGTCTTAATAAACTAAAGATCATTATTCAAATCACAATTTTCATGTTGATAGATCAAAAAATGATGTGCTTTCATCTCTATATATAAAAATTGGGTGTAAAGATAGATGAAAATTTATCTCTTGTTGTTATATCTTGAAAAAATAGAATTAAATAATACCACGATAATTTTGAAAATCAAACAAAGCAAGATGATGATCATGAAAAGTCAAAACCTTGTTATTGAAATAATAAAAAACAAAGCAAGAAGTGATAATGTTTTTTGAAATCAAACAACATTGAAATTTAAATTTTTTCTTTTGGCAAAATCTTGAAGCCCAAATTTTTAATATTTCACAAAAAATATTATAAAAATGTTACAGTGGTATGTACTATCACTAATTTTATTTTTAAATAAAATTTTATGATATTTTTTTGAAAAAATTAATATTTATGATTTTATTCTATAATTTGAAGATTTAGAGTGACAATTGTAAAATCTAAATTAACATATAATATTTCCATTCTTAATTAAGGTTATCTTTATAAAAAATATCTGATTTCCTATGAAAATTTCATTCAATATATATATATATATATATATATATGTGCACAACATAATTGACATAAAAATTTACTTAGCATTTATTTAGTTTGATTTTTCCATAATTAATTAAAATTTTATATAAAAATGTGAATATGAAATTGATAACTGTTTTCTTTTATTATTTAAAATAATAAAATTTAGTTTTTTATTTATTATATCTTCCGAATAATAAATAATTAGGTCTTTAAATGTAAATTAAAGACCTAATTCAAATAAATATATAGTTGAAAAAAAATTTGAATATCAAATACAAATATTATGTAATCAACAAAATTACTTTGATTTCATTTAATTTATATAAAAATATTTCTAATATTAAAGTGCCTATTAAAAAATTTGAAAAATTAATAAAATTTATTGTAGTTCGTTATGTATTGCATCTGTCATGCATTTATAACATGACAAACTATTATTAGAGTAAGAATGTGAAAAGTATTGCTTAAAAGTAATTGACTTATATGTTTACTACTTAATATAAAATTTGCTAACGTGTATGATTTCAACATATATATTGAATCCTTATATATCAAATAAAAAATTTGTCAATACAAAAATTTTACATTATCATTATAACTAATTTTATCTCAATTTTAAGTAATATTTCTTTATTGATGATTAAAAAATAATTATATCCATTTCTTATTTTATTTTCTAATATGACATTGGATGTGATTTGTTGAAGGTAATAATCAAAAAAATTTAAATCAATGATGAATTGATACTGAATTCAAAGGTATTTAGAAAATAAAAATCAATCAACAAAAAGACAATGGTGATGTGTTGAACATATAACAAAAACTAAATCTTTAGTATGAAATGTTGGGCGGGTTTCACTACATTTTCTTTTAAAGACAAAGAGGTTTAAAATGTTGGCATTGAGATTTGATTAATCATTTCATCAACCTGCATATATCGAATGATTATATGTGTATTGAGTAGTGTTTGTTTTTATAGCATAGATTACATTTAAATAGTTGTTTATCATTATTTGGGTAAAAAATGTTTCAAATTTATGATGATTTATCAAACTTGTAAAATAAAATTCATACGATGTGTTCAGATCCAACCTTTTGATATGTGTGATGATATATCCATATGCGAATATCTACAAGACTTGAATTATTTTTATCTATCTTGGAATGTTAAATTTCAAATACTTGAGTGAAAATCCAAAATAAGATCAATTAGAAAATAAAAGATTATAATAATTTCATAGAAAACATAAACTTAAATACTTCAACATGTTACATCTTATGATGTATATCACATTGATATCAAATATATTACTCAGAAAATTTTCCCTATAGAATATTAATAAAATAATCTAACTATTATGTAATTTGTGTATATGATTGTAAATTTTTTTCAATTTCAATTCATTTTCAATTAAACTTGAAAAATGAATAAATTTGATGAATTCTTTGAAATTTTGATAAATTATAAAAATCAAATTATTTTTTAGTGTCAATAATGTATTACTAGAATCATACCCAACAAATGGATGATATCTTGGTCAACATGTCTGGCATCCAAGTAAAACGTGTCACAACCATGACACTAGAGAACTTAAGGTAAATCCTACTGTATCAAAATTCACTTTTAGTTTCGTGTACTATTGAAATGAAGCCATGCAAATGACAAGACAAAACAAACAACAGCAAGAGCACCAATGCGAAGTTTTGGCAGAGTGAGATTCTTACTGAGTGGCACGTGTCCTAGTTGTACAGCCCCACTGCACAGGTGGACAAGTTCCTCTGCGACGGCGTGCTGATGAGCGTGCCGTCGCAGGAGAATCAGACTCGAAAAGCAGGATATGCCGGGGGCCAGAGGAGCCAGGTCAGCTCTGCTGAGGTGTCAGTGCCACGTGCACCTCAGTCGGCTGGCGACTCTCAGAGTTGTAATACTCACACTGCCTTCCTCCTTCCTGCACCACGAACACGGCAAGACTGCCGAAGCGTGATCGCTCAGTCGAGAGTTCAATTCCTGACGAGCTTCATGCTTGATCAGCTGTCTCATTGGACTGACCTTGAAGTTTCAGCAACTTCGAACGCGATCGAAGAGAGGCGTGTGAGACAGATCCAGTGTTTACTCTTCACTCTTGAGTTTCAACGGAATCTGCAAACAGGACAGATTCAGAGCGTCTCGAACCTTTGGTTCAGGCATGGAGTCGCTTAGTAGCACTCGTCCGCTAGCTGAATCTTTCAAATCGGTGTACTCGAATCCGGAGCATATCGACTATGCTGTGGTAAGCATAACTTTTCAATGCATTTCCTGCATGCTTCTCTTCTCGCTTGTCCTCGCGGTTGCTAAATTAGAAAGAAGCTTTGCAGTCCGGCACGGGATCTGGTCCCTGGTCCTATTAGTTACAGTTTGATCTATTTCCCGTCGAGATTTAGCAGTTCAATCTGGCGTAAATTCTTTTTGATTTGATTGTATTGATCTCTTGGAAACACTAGTACTTTGCGACTCCAGAGACATGCAACATCGATTGTGGAAGATGTGGCTGAGACAGTTTTACTTCATTCATGGAAACGTCGTTGGCTTCAACACTGAACTGATATCTGACATATAAACTTAAATCCAATGTGACATTTGTCTTGTGAGGCAGATCGATACATTCACAAATTCTGCATTTTCAGGCAATCCGGCAGCTGTGATTCTTCTCCCCGAATTCAGAGATACAAAATGGATGCAGTCCGTTGCTGCAGAGTTCAGCCTCCCTGTAACCTGTTTTCTCGTGAGAAAAGACACGAAGTTAGTGGAAGGTGATAAGGTGACCCCTGAAGATGAGTTACCAAGTAAGAAGCTAGAAGTTACCACTTCTTTTGATTCAAAAACCGAGGCTAGTGAAGACAGTGATATGACAGAGAAGGAGACGAATGCCTCTGCATCGGAAACTGACCTGAAGCATGTAATTCATGAATACGACATTCGCTGGTACACTCAGTTCTCAGAGGTTAGTCTATTTGATCATAACATTGTCTCATATGATTTACTTCCAGCTTATGTTTTGTTTTCCAGTTGTACATGTTGTTTGCTACGAACTTACCTTCTTTATTAAGAGGTGGTATTAAATTTATCATTACGTTGAAACTTGCACAGGCTGATCTTTGTGGACACGCTACATTAGCAGCTTCTTATTTGCTCTATGAAACTGGCTTAATCGGTAAAAAAGACACTATATTCTTCCACACCAAGTCTGGTCTCTTATCGGTGCGTACGGTGGGACCTAAAGACAGTGATGCTCAATCTTCTTCCGCGGATGGCAGAAAGTTACCAACCGAAGACATGATCGAGCTGAATTTTCCGTGGGTCACAACAACTCCTTCTCCGTTCTCCTCAGTAGAGAAGCTCACTCAAACACTGAAGAATGTGGAAGTTGTTGCCGTTTCCAAAGCATCTCACAAGTTGATTGTAAGTATCCATGTCCTCATATTGGTTGTTAATTGAGGCATACTGTTAATACTTAAGTACGATAGTAATTACGGAGTAATAAGATGAGTTCCCCTTCCTTCTAGTAGCCACTAGTTTGTACGCTTTAGTCTTTTGAAGATCGTTCCACCTGCAATTACTGCATGACATCATCAATTACGCACAATATAATACTGTACTTGCTGGTTCTCAACATTTGGTGCAGATTGAATTGGCTTCGAGGGAGGACTTGGACAAGCTGAGTCCCAATATGCAGGAGTTACTCAGCTGTGATAGTGACGCCCTATTTGCAACAGCACCTGGTGGACCCGTGTCTGAATTTGACTTTGCGTCCCGCTGCTTCTTCCCAAAGGTTGGGTTGGATGAGGTAAGAAATTTGATACAATACTGTCAATTGCCTCACTGGGGTGATAAATGTAGCGAGACTTTGCTAAACTTGTTGAAATCTATTGACTTTTGACTCAAATCTTTTTGTTTTGTTGTCTTGAAATTGTTATATCAGTTGATAAGATTAATCTGTATAGGTTCACGTCTATCATGGGTTGACAGATTGGCTTCTTACATCTACCGTTCCTTTTTACGTTAACTCTATCACCAGTTTGGTTACGCCCGGCTTACAAGTCAAGGTTATATCGTTTGGAAACCGTCGAAATGAAAGGAGTTAATGTTCGTGATCACATGTTAGGATGTTCAATCTGATCAGAGACCTCACTTTATAATGTGAAATTAAATTAGGCGTCTACAAACGTCTTAAAAATTTCTGAGTTCTGAGCTACAGCCGTCAACAACTATATGTAATCAAAAGGGGCAGGCAAAGGACGTAACTCATGGAAAATCCAGCTCATCACCGTCGGAAAAAACTATAGGTTCAATACTGTAGGGGAACTTACATATACAACGTGAATGGCTTTTTTATACATTCACGTTGAGTGCTAACAAACGGTGATTTTTTGCTCCAGGATCCTGTTTGTGGGAGTGCCCATTGTGCTCTAGGGCCGTATTGGTCTACGAAGCTTGGAAAAGATAACTTGCTGGCTTATCAGGTAGGTTTAGTTTCTGCTCAAAACCAGTAACGACCATAATCATGAGTGCTATGCAATTTCTTGAATGCTGTCTTGTTAAGGTTTGAACAAAGATTGGAATCAAACTTAACATGTATTTTAATATGAAAATTTTGACATCTGAATTATATAAACTCAATCATATATCGTGCGATATATATAAATATTTAATTATCCTTGATTATACATATTTTCTAAACTAATGTTATTTGGCTGGTTCTGTAGGCTTCGAAAAGAGGAGGAATACTCGGTCTTCAAGTTGATAAGAAAATTGGCAGAGTCTACATTAGAGGTCAAGCAACTATGGTGATGGCTGGGGTACTTGTAAAATAGTGGTGAAACAATGAGTCACCTTCTTAAATCTTGGCATGTATAGATTAAACTCATTTCATGAGAGTATCAGTTTCCGAGGACTTTATAGAACAAAGTGATACATAATCTTTTGACTTGAGGCCTGAACAAGGGAAACGTCTGCACAGTTTTGTGGTGCTTGTGCATATTTCTTGAGATTCGAGCCTTCGTCTGCCTAGAAGGCAATTGGCTATTCTATAAGCATTTCTTTGGATCTACCATCCATCATGGTTATCTGAGCAGCTATATGAATAATTAGAACAGATTACTATGATTAATCAAATCAACAACCACATGAGATTCATTGAGAACACTTTTTTCTTCATTGTAAGAATCAGTTGTCAGTCAACCATTGCCGATGATTGTATATTTTGACTCAAGCACCTTCATTTGAAAGAGTCAGCAATGTATATTAATGTGAAAAGAAATGAAATGTGTGACAATTACGCTTAAGCCTCCCGCCTTAGTTAGATTCCTCCCAAATATGACGAAGAGTTCATCCTTGATTGACTACTTATTTCATCTTTTCAGCAGAGAACATTGAGAAACTAGTGAGAAGTATAGATGATGATGCACTTATGTGAACAATATAGATAAACGTAAATCTGATAAAGGAGAAACATATTCTTATCCTTCGACAAGATCAGTACAAAAGAAATATATGCGGATAACACAGGCCTCCTAAATTCTGGGATTCGTCTACAGATCCCCAGAATTTACCAAAATAAGAACTGACGGCGTCCATAAATTCAGGACGTCGTCAGTATCATAGTCCATAGTTAATCACGGTGCTGAGACACGGGGAATGGACCTTATACTACGTCTCGGAGAAAAAGTTGTGCTTTTACGAAGAAGAATCAGAGAGTGATTTCTCTTTTGCAAATATTGCTTACTGTGCTTGATGGTGATAGTGCGTCAAGCTTTATGATATAATCTCCATGAACTTCTTACCCGATATCCCTGTCCATACATCCTGCATCTAAGACTATATTCCACTGGTTATTATCTTTTACATTTTTGGCCCGCTGAAGATTTTTCATCAATCACAAACCATTGTTGCTGCAATCCACATGTCCTCAAAAGGCTGGAGCATTTCGCACTTGCGTCTAGATGTTTGCTCCTTTCTTGATTTTGATCACTCTTGAAGGTGTGCAGTCACATTGGTCCGATGATACAATCTCATTTGAAGAAATCCAAGTGGCCTTCACAATTGTTTCATGGCAGTGAGAGCTCTTTGTTTATACATATTCAGCTTCTAACACTCAACATATATCTCAGAGACAATCTATCGAAATCAAATTTAGACCATCATCGAGTGATAAAGTGCGTTTTTGAGTCAATCGTAAAATTAACAAAATTAAAAAAAATAGAATTCGTAATGTAAGTTAATTTCGGTAATTATGGAAATTCCCAGGCCTTACGAGGCCTGGGATAACACCATTTCTCGAATTAGAATCACAATTGTTTTAGCATTTATGTGTGTATACAAAAATATCAATACACACCTCCATGTTGAACATCATTACGCATCCAGGTTGAAGGATTACTATAATTTGTTTGTCCTCGGATAGTCCAAACATCCCTTTGGACTTCCCGAGTATAGATAAGCTCCATATAACTTTCACTGTCCGAGTCCGTCGAACAAGACGTGACGCTTTTACTTGGCATTCGAGGGAAGTGAGAGATTTGAGGTACTTACTTGTGGTGAACTTCAGGATCCGAAAACTGCTACCTTTGTTGCTTGCAAGGCGTTCGAGACGAACTGCATTAAGTTGCAGCGGAGAGTCGATCACGAATTGAGAAACCTACAATTCCGACTGATAAATTAGCTGGTTTGCTCAGGCCTTGGATCTTGCTCATCTTCTCCATGGCAGCGGCAAAATCATCGAGGAAAGGAGCATTGGAACGCGGTGCTTCTTCCAAGACGATGGCTCGGCCGCTGACATTGGTAGTCGATGCAGCATCCGAGATAAACACTGCCTGGTTGTTCTGAGCCCTGCTGAAGAGCCTGCAGTCAAAATTGTTGCTGCCACTGGTTGGGTCTATGAGTACTTCGTTCATCACAGCTCCGAAAGGACACTGCTTGTTCAGCTGAGCTGCCATAGTCGGTTCCAAGATTGGGTCCACTATCTCGGGGCCAGTTGAGTTGTAGACTTGGGCTTGGATCAATCCGCAATGTGTGATGCCGATCTTGTGAGCACCTGCTCTCGGTTCAGTCAGTCTTGTCCATGAACTTCCGTACAGTTGTGGAGTGATAAGTTTGTAAAATCTATTTACTGACTCGTAGAGTGTGGAGATTGTGAAAGCAACGGAAATGAATCTGTACATACTACCTGAAAGGACGACCATCTCCCTCTCTGAAGCTCCTTTCCTCGTGAACCTGTTCTCGAAGAATGGGTAATATGGGAGAGAAGGCGGAAAAATGCTGGGATTTATCTGTGCACTGGAAACCAAACCATCTCTTCGACCAGAAACTACGGACCAGGAGGGACATCCAATCTGCAGCAAATTGGTTCAGAGATCCAGATGTTAGTCGAGAAGCCTGCCAGCTTAGAGAATAAAAATTTGGAATTTACGTGGACGGTGCGATTTTAATACATGATCTCGCTTGAGAGAGTAGACTTTAAGAAGCGAAATGCATCAGAGCACAGGAGAAGGTTCGAGTTGCCCGCCAAGATAGCTGACCAAGGCTGGTCATTTTGATACTCTGAATTTAGAGTGAATTTTACTGAATTGTACTGAATTCAGAATTCAGTACGATTCTAGTAGGGAAATACAAGCATCTGAAGTCAAACTTTGGATTGAATCATCCCTATCACTGCAGAGAATAAAATGATCACTTACTCTCAAAAAGCAATCATAGAGCCGCATTCGAAGAGGAGCTTCTGGCAGCCCGCTGCTCCTAAGATGATTCCGTTCCAGATGCATAGAGTGTTGTGAGTTTCTTCAGAATCGAAATCGGTCGGGCGCTTTATGGTCTTCGAAAGAAAAGCCTTGCGTGAATCTAGATCTCATTCTCTTCGGGGTCTCCAAAGCTTCATTTCCATGACATATTTTGAAAGATGGTGTGAGTCCATGTGTCGCCCACATCGACAACTACATGCTTCTGCATCCATGATCTTGAGCAGTCCCATAGCTCTTCCCACATCCGCGGAGGCGAACATGCTCTTCTGCAAAAGGATCTGCATGTACGAAATTTGCGCACACATTCACAGACTTATCTTTCGGGTTCTAAGTAGGCAACCTGGCGACTCTTCGTCCACTACAAAGAGAAGCACTTCCCTCTGGCAAATGGGACTGGACTTAGTCAAAAGCGTAGTAAGAGAATTGCCCAAGTACAGAGACTCGTACCTCAGTACAAGTTTGTCGGGAATGCTAGAAGAAAGGCTCTGGGGTATTTACGTGTAGTACACCCTGTAGAACAGGTGACATAAATTCATGTCATGGAATGTTCAGACGGAGCAGTGATTTGATGCGTAACCCGTCGTCGCATGTCGGATGGTGCTTGTTACACTTCTGGAATCCGGAATCTTAAAGGTCCCTCTCCTTTTTCTGCGGCTGGAGCGCATTGTGGAGAATTGCAGCAGAACGTGGACAGCACGCTGCATTTGCACTGCCTTGGGCCAAAAGTAGTTCGAGTCCAGATCCAGATCCTGATCCTGTCGTTTCTTCCCGAGCTGTCAAGTTGCCTTACAAGTGACATGTTCCTGTACAGAATTGAAATTATATGGCTTTCAAGGCATACTTTGAGAAAATTACAAAAGATTGCACCTATTGTTCGAAACAATGGTGTACAGCATCTACAATGCGTGGAAAACGAGGTTAATCAGTTATACAACTCTTGCAGATGTCTCACACTCTGCCAACTTCAATGGAACAGCTCGTTTGTAGATCAGATGGAGCCCATTCATTAGAGCAGATGGAAGATTAGAACCTGTCCTAAAACTGTGAGTAGAAGGTCAATCTTGACTGGCATATACGATCACTGTCAAGTAGAGTAGACCTTGGGGTCGGAATAGCATGCATGAAAGCAGCGAGCATTCAGAATTAGGAACTGGTGATCGGAGTTATGAACTTGATGAAACATGATACAAACTACTTGATATAAAGACAAGTTAAAGTCCATCATATTAGAGGATCCATCAGCAGAAACGAACCCAATGTGCCCCACAACAAGCAAAAGAACTGGTTCAAAACAAACAAGAATGGCATATAGCAGTTCTTTGTTCTTGTCTCGGGGTACTGCAATAGCATTGGAAGGGAATATCCCATCAAAGAAAATCTGATTAATGAGTTAAGTTTGTTTCATTGTTTTTTAAAACCAAGGTGCGATACGACAAATTGGATTTTTTTGTTGCACATGAACTATACAGATTGGTATGTTAGATACTATTCATTTGATAACTGTTGGGATCTAGCCCCTTGTTATTCTTTTAGTTATGTCCTCGCAATCCTTGAAGATATGTCCCTTCCACCCGCTTCAATCATCATTTGAAGATTTCTTCATAATGTTAACTGGGCGGGTATTTTTGGGGTAATTAAGACCCTGTGACACCGAGTGTAATTAAGAGGAGATTGTCGAGTAAAATAGGTGGAAATATCTGGGTGGCGAAGAATGAGGATGCTGACTGTGTGAATACTGTACTACAATGTGCAAGGTGTGACGACTAATTGAGGCGACTATGTCGTCGCAATTAGTCACCACACCTTGCACATTGTAGTATTCACACAGTTTGCATCCTCATCAAAGCGGTATTTGTCTTCGTGGTTGGAGACAGATGTCTTGGACGGAGAGAACAATAGTGATGATGCTAGCAGCGGATCGAAAGCGCAGCAGAACCGACTATTCCGCCCGAGGTGTCGAGAGCCATAGACATTAGGATGCGGAGCAGGAGTCGGAAAAGGTAGCCTTGGTGTTCCACGGGCATTAGGAGGCGAGGTGCATCCATTGGAAAGATTTTGCAAGAGACATCAGCAAAGTAGACATCAACGTTGATGCTTTTGCTGGGACAGTGGAGTCATCATCATAGGTGGACGGCTTAGACGGGTGATGGGCGTGACCTCAATGGATGTTCGCTCGTACACCAGGAACGTTACGTTAGGTGATGATCTTCGTTTGCTTATTTAGTTTTCGAGCAGTATATATTTCAGGTTGTGATGCTATTGGTACCTAGCCATTTCGTACGCAATTCGTTTATTCCTTATAAAAAAATTTGGATGTCTTTTTGCTTTATTTCCATCAATCTTTCTCTGAACGGAATGCAAGCTTCTTCGTGTGACTTCTCTGGAGTTCTGTGAAGCCGTGTGCATTTGACATCGATTGAGTACTGTGAGCCTAAACTCCCCACCTTTCAGCGTTTGTAGTCCAGGTGGAGGTTTGAGCTCCCATAATCTAACTTCTCTGATCTCAAACCATGTGGTCAAAGTGTATTCAAGACAATGAGATCATAAGTACTCGTTTTGCCATGGACAATTTGTCCCAAACTGTCACTAACAACTTGATGTATGCTATTTTCACAAGAGCAGCAGACAAGCTCTTCGTCACATAAAGATCTAACCCAACTATGGATGACTTTCTCAATACTACAGCCGATGTGGCTTATACTAGAATGAGTGCCACATCTTAGACACACTGCCTCGGACACAGTCAGGTGACACACCAGCAGCACAAGGTGACACCCTTCCTAACAGCAACCTTCACACCCAGGGAACACGATTCTACTCTCAACACTTGCTCGATTCTTCCTCTTAGTGATCAACTCAGTCTTAGCCCAGCGATCCTCTTGGCCGTCACACACACTCTTCCGCTCAGCCCTCCGGCTACACTCTCAGCAACTCCACGCTTTCAACACCCTTGCCCTAAGTGATCTCACCCTCCTATCAGATTCCACCCACAATTCCGAGTATCAGATTTCAGTCTCACACCCTCAGTTCCCACCTTCGATTTCAGTCCCACTCCCAATTCCTACTCAGATTTCAGTGTCGATTTCTCAATTTCCACCTTCAGGTCCCACCAGATTTCTCTCTCAAATTCAACTCTCACTTTTCAGTTTCAAATTCAGATCCCGACTATCACATTTCAGTTTCAGATTTCAGTTCGATTTCAACTCCCACTCTCAGAACCTACACTTCAATCTCAGATCCCACTCACGGATTTTACACTTCAATCTCAGATCTCAATTTAATTTCACTCCCAGATACGACTCTCCACCCAAAAGAGGTTGCTTCCTCATGCATCGAACTCTCCACACTCCCCTCCTAATTCTCACCACTTCCTTGCAAAAATCACTCACGTCCACACTCTATTCCTCCTACCGATCCCACCAGCGTCTCCACACCATGGCACACCACACAATGCCAGCTCGCAGGCCAAATAATCTTCTCCAACGTCCAAGGGCCGAGTTACCCACAAGCCGCGTGAATGCCGTTCCCGCGATGATGGGCAACGGCCTGGTTCTCATGTGCGACTTTATGCCCCGTCGTCCTATTCCACGCTTGACTTCACGCCGCCGCTGCCACACTTGTACAGTCTTTATTCCTGCCACGTCAACATCCGCCGTCCGAAATCTTTTTTCGCGCACCGCCAAAGTCATTCCCCGCCGAAGACACTCTTCCACACCTTTGCCTATCTATAACAGTCACCCCCGACGCTCATAACTCACAAATCCCTGCTTTGTTTGAAACGTTCTTGGACTCATTGGAACAAGCGTGTTGTGCTCTTTCCAACGAGCCCCTAAATAAGTCAAACCGTTAAGAATTGAGAAAGTTATGACGGTTTTAATCTTCCGCCGAAGGCGTTTGCCTATGCGCAGGCCGTACGCACAACCCGCCTTGGGCCAAAGTCCCCTCTATATGTTAACGCCGAACGCCTCTCGCCTAACCATGACAGCCGCTTTCGACGCTCATAACTCAGTGATAACTGATCCGTTTCAAAAGATCTTGGTCTCGTTGGAACCAGCGCGTTGAGTTCTTTCCAACGAGACCCGAATCAAATCAAACCGCTAAGAATTGAAAAAGATATGCCGGTTTTACAGCTTCGCCGAAGGCATGCAACCGCCGAAGGCCCTTCCCCCGAAGGCGAACATCTAGGGCCGAAAGCGGATCCAGCCGGAGTAGAACGTCTACGTATCTTCCGATAGTCATTACTCCCTAAATTCTCATCTATTCCCGGCGTTCTTGGGCTCGTTAGAACGAGCGTGTCAAGCACTTTCCAACGAGATCCTAACCAACGCAAACCGTTAAGAATTGAAAACGTTATCACGGTTTTACCCTTCCGCCGAAGGCGTTTGTCTATGCGCAGGCCGCCTACGCGCAACCCACCGAATGCCCTCCATATCAGAAACTTCCGCCGCTCCTAACTCGGTGATGCCTTATGCGTTTCAAGAGTTCTTGGTCTTGTTGTAACGAGCATCGTGAGCTCTTTCCAACAAGACCCTAACTGAGTCAAGGCGTCACACATTGAAAACGTTATGAGAGTTTCACTTATTCGCCGAAGGCCTTTTCCCGAAGGGATTTCGCCGAAGACCTTGCCCCAAGGCCTGCTTCCGCACCTCTTGCCTTGTAACCATCACACCAACTATTAATTTTACAAAAATTTTCAGAAAACTCCAATCATAATTTTGCAAGAGTTTAAATCCAAAATTTTAACTCTCATAAAGGTAAAAAGACATGCGAGCACAGTTTTGTGCTCACAAGTACAAGTATTTTCCAAAGGCAGATCCAAGTGGCTAAAGTTGGACTACTCTTACTGCGTTCTGAGGTTGTCCGATGTCGGATCTGCCCCTTTTATCATGTACAGGTCTTCTACTTCCCTCAATTTAAAGTATATACAATAAATGCAACAAGCGTGTATTTCATACTGTGGCAACAGTGCAGCAATAGCTCTATACGAGCCAGCTCAAATCATATCCTAGGATGAAGCCCGACTCCTGCTTGCACATGGTATCCGTGTTAAATATCGAATCACCAATTGATGAGAGTGTGAATCATTGTGGATTGGATTGATTCCTGTGTAACATGTTGAAACTCGACACTCGATATCTCTCACATGTCGCTCGTCTCGCTCCTGCAGTCATTAAGACGCAGAGATTCAGGGGCAGATGGCAAGGCAAACCTTCTATCCACATTGCTATTCACCTCAAATGGAAAGGCACTTTGAAATCAGTGAAGCTCTACAACACAACTTTTCATCTTCCCTCTGTCCGAATTGCTCACACGAGCATGTAACACAGGTTAGAACGAGCGCACTCATCAGCGGGACTCGAATTTAAAAGGTCAGTGGACTTTTCAGAATTTCCACATGTGAATCGTGTGCAACTGAGAGTTGTGTGTTTCGCTGTTTTGAACTTCGGTGATATGCATCTGAAATTCAATCCTCACTGTAACATAGGCGCTGGTTTACAAATTTGTAGCCTCACTGGCCAATAAAATGGAGTTCATACGACACTTTGCTGTAACCTGTCTGAGATTGAGCACTCCGGAACCTGGAAAGAGGGCCAGCAGCATTCTTACATTATCCAGCTCCCATGCATTATGATCAGTATCAGTATCATTTATGAGACCTCCACATACGTTTTGGGTTTGTGAAGAGGATCAACACCGCAACCGGACGGCAGTGAGTGAAGGACAGAAGAGTTGGATACTTTGTCCATTATATAAAGGTGAAGTGGACTGAGAAAGTAACGATTGCTTGCTATATGTATGCATTACAGAGATTCTTATTGTCATTTCGTAACCACGAGCTGATGTAGACTATTAAGATTGCCGATGACAGCAATTCTTCATATATTCCCAAGTCTTCTTGGTATTCTGGTTGAACCTTCGTTCATGATCAGATCTCTTATCAGCGAGAATTCTGTTGCTATAAAGCCTAAGAATCTGGAATGATTGTGTCCATCCATTGCAGGCTCAATGTTCCTGTTTCCCAATGTAAATGTCAAATTCCAATCTTGCGTCAACTTCTTCATCTGAGTCCAACTGCACGTCAGGACCTCAAATTTATTGAACATGTGCCATGCAGGGTCAGGCCAACTTTACGAACATATTATACTGGACTATTCTGCATTTGTCAGAGGCCTTTCCGCATGTGCGAATGTTTGTTATAATTACTGTACGGTAGTCAGAGGATGGATCCTGATGATCTACCCGTAATCTGGAACTCTGATTTTGACACGACTGCAATTCAAGACTTGCTCTTAGATTTGCTAAGGTTCTATTCAATCCCCTAAGTCCTAGTTTCACACGGTGAACATTGAACATTCTCTATACCAGGGCGTGTTCCACAAACTTCTCAGGGATTCTGGAGAGTGCTGTAAGCTTTAGGCTCCTTACGCTTTGAAGGTAAGTTCAACTCTGAATCTGTTCTGTGATGAGATAGGTTAAGGAAATATCAGTGCCCTGCTCGATGTCAAATAGATCTCGTGACTGTTAGCAGCATTAAACAGGGAAATATAAACACCTGCCAGGGAAGGAGTCTATATCTTTCACGTCATACATCTACTCGAGAACTCATAAACATAACGATACTTATTCAGGGTTATCATTTTTCTAATAATCACTTTATTTTAAGATCATATCTTGTATTTTAACTCAATATTTTCATTTCATAATATTTCGATCATCCCAAAATATTCAAAATGTATGTTTGTAACATGTCCCATAACTGCACAGGTCAACATCCTTTCTTGCAACCTTTGCACAATCAGCACTCAAATTTAATCTAGACAACATGGCAGACATCAGTTCGAGCCCGGAACAGTTTACTCTTTGCGATGGAGTCGAGAAAGCTGTAGTAAGGCTGGAAGAGAAGAAGAGAAGAGCAGAGATCTTGGAGTCAATTTCTGCCAGGATGCTAGACCTTCCTTGCAACTTTCTTTGATCGATTTTGACCACGACCTGTACCGAGGGAACTTTAGCTTTTTTCACACTTGAATTAGATTCTGAAACCCGCATTTCTACCGAAAGCAATTGGAGTGGATTTCATGTGTGGTAGACAACAGAAGATGCCGTCATGCAAACCAAGATTGTCCATCAAAACATGCACTTCCTGACAGAAATACGTGCGCAGCCTGGTAGAATATATGCTTTTTCCGTCCAGTCTCCTAAGCGCGTACGGCTACACAATAAGCATAAAGTGATATTCTACTGCCACCACTGCTCATCCATTGGCAACATGATCTGCCTGTGCGGGATGCAGGACTGTGCCAGATCAATTTTTTATAAGGATCTGATAGGAATAACTTGCATCCTCGTGATGAAAATAAGTGCAATTCAATTATTCTGTGTTGCTGTCTTTTGGCTCATCGGATACTTAATAAAATAAGGTATGTTCATCTGGACTAATCCTAGTGTTGTCATAGGCGCATCTCATATAGAACTTCTTTTTGGTTCCCAGCCCTCTGTACGCTGCAGACTCCTCTGCATGCAGAGACCTCTCACCATTTCTGTCCCTGGACTGCTCTGAGACATCTTAGGTATCTGATGCACGATCCCACGTGATCCATGATTATCACCGGCCTACACTTTCAAATTTCAAACGACTTCATACTAAGACTCGAAACAGAGGTATACTGTCTCCGCAAAATCAGATGTCTGTGCAGAACTGATGCAAAATGTCCTGAAGTACATTGAAACATTTCGGCCTGGAAATGGCTTCCATGCCGGAATCTGTCGGACACGAGATCCGAAATTACAAGTAGTAAACCACTTAGGTAAGTTCCGACTTACATATGATGCAGCAAATGGATGAGGTTCTACAGTTAGAGAAGGCTTCGATAGAAGCTGGTGGTTAATACTTTTCAGCCTGAGGAGTGAGACTACGAATGTACACTATTTGAAACGATTTCGAACTCATCCGTGATTTTTCTTTTTGGCAAGGAGAGTTTTTCGAACTTGTCCTGCCACTTACTAAAGATCCAACTGGTGTTCGATGTAATGGCGTACAAATCCACTTTCACATATAACAAGATCGGTCTGTGATGAGCTAGATAGATGTGTCAGATTATTGCTCCCCTAGATATATAGAACGTTCGAAATCTCTGCTTCTGCATTCTGCCTCTTTTCTGAAGGATATACAATCCTGGTGTAACTGGCTTCTGCTTGGCCAGTACACTTGAGGGTTGAGGGTAGAGAGAAAGAAAGAGGGAGAGAGACTGAGAGGGAGAACATTGACAGCTATCTGGGTAGGCACTGAGAGACGTGGTGCGCCAGTCAGGAAGGTGGACTCTGAAATTTTGGGGTGTGACCCGAGGATTCAGATCCACGACCATGAAGGTGAAAACTACAAGCCGAACATGGGTCGTACCGGCCATTCCAACCAACCAACACTGGCTATCCTTGAGCAATTTAGATAGAGTCGTGAATCCCACATTTGTAAGTGTCATTTTCTTCTACGAGGCCGTGCTCAAGAGCAAAGCGTTTGCCGAAATCGTCAGCAAGCTCAAGCAATCTCTCAGAGAAGTGCTCGTGCAATTCTACCCTCTAGCAGGTCGACTGGCATTGCGCGAGGATGGGCTCGTGGACTTACACTGCAACGATGCGGGAGTCATGTTTCTGGAAGCTGTGGTCGATTCAGAGCTGTGCGATGCTGGAGGAAGAGGCTGCGGAGGTGCTCAGCCCGTGCCAGCCCTGTCCGGAATCGATGCAGCTAGAGTGGGACCAGGCCCCGTCTTCCTCCCGGACCAAGTATCGCCAATGCCGGTTCTGATTATTCAGGTCACACAGTTCAGATGTAAATCAATGGCTATCGCTGTGAACTGGCACCACACCGTCGCAGATGGATTCTCGGGCATTCATTTCGTCAGGTCCTGGTCGGAAGTAGCTTCAGGTCAACCCCTCTCTCTGAAGCCCGTACACTGTCGAGACATTCTGAAACCAAGGCCGACTCCGGATTCGAGCCTTGTGCACGGGTATAGTACTGCAATTCTCAAAGGAGACGAATTGAACTTAGCTGCCCAAATCAATAAGAAGCCGGCGATTGCCAAGCTGTTCAACATCGGGAGAGTGGCGATTCAGAAGCTACGCATGGTTGAGGATGACACGACGGACGTGTTCTCCTTCAGCACAGCCGAGATGATTTCGGCATATTTGTGGAAGATTATGGTTCGAGCACGTTTGGACGGCAGGGTCTCGAAGTCTGCTGAAACTGCTGACGCTGCTGCTAAATCGGCATCGACGAGGTTCTTCATGTTCGTGGATGGACGGAAAAGGCTGGACATTCCTGCTGGCTACTTTGGAAACGTGGTTTGCAGCGCCTGCGCCCAGAGCACCGAGGCTGACATCGCCACGAAGTCCGTGATCCAAATTGCGAGCTTAATTCGTAAAGCTAACCGCAGCATAAACGAGGATTACTTCCAATCTCTAATCGATTGGGTCGAAACGAAAGGCTTCATGTGCTCCAAGTCGGAACATGTCAATTCCTTAGGCAGGGATGTCGCCGCCACCTTCTGGATCTATTTTCCTCTGTACGAGGTCGACTTCGGCTGGGGCAAACCGACTTTTGCTGCGAGAAACGCTGCTCCCCGCCAATTCATTGACGGCATAAGCATGATGCCCAGTCCCCACGGTAGAGGTCACATGGCAGCGGTTCTCAATCTTCACGGCGATCGCATGGAAAGACTCGAGGCCGACCCCATGTTCACGTCATTACTCGCGCAGCAACCGATGGTGGCAGTCAAGAGAGAGAGCAAGGGTGAGAACATGGCGCCAGGTCCGTGATCCGCAGTCGATCATCCATTTGCATACTGTGCCGATGTGCTGAATGTGTGTGTTTTAGCTTGCGTCTGACGATCATGAGATTCAGAGTCCCGACGAGAGACATGCACTAGCCTTCCTAGTGTTCGTCCTAGGAGGTCCATATCGTCACAAGCATCTTATATATAAAAACTTAGATATAGCTTGATTAGATTACCTTGTCCGACTCAACAGCATCACCCTGTAGGAATAGCTGCAAATATTTTGCAAGCTTTATCCGAAGCATATTTCTCGTTCTCTTTCGGAACGAGTATTTAATAATTCGAAGCATCTTCTTGGATACAAGCGTCCATGCAAACCAACCAACTGTGCCGACTCTCGCCTGCAGCTTGTATATGAATGTGGTTTGGAGGTCTTTGATCTATCGTTCTGTGCTCCTTGGTCAGCCCAACTTCCAAATCTTTCTTTCTGTCTTTCTGTCTTTCTTTCTAATTGTCTTTCCCTTTTTTTAGTCAAGATTGTATTTAGCACTTCTCTTAATTCTTAAGGTTCAAGATTCCGATGATGACTCTAATGTCGGCTGCCCGTCATGAGATTTCAGTGGCATAAGGAAGACTGCAGGACTGTGAATCAGAGTACATCTACCGGTATAATTCTCTTGCTCGATCCCAGTTATGGTCATTTTCAGAGTGGATTTACGACTGACGGAGGTTAGAATTGATCTGTGGAACATTGCATAGCTCTCTCTTTGCTCTGCAGATATGTTCCACAAACAGGGATGTAGGGAGGACTTTTGTCATGGGTCGTATATTCATAAAGCTGAATCGAAATTGAATTAGTTCGCATGACCAATTCAGTTGACTCGACAGGTACTGAGCTTCTTCCAGAAAGAACCGAATATGTTTTTACTGCTGAATGGTTTTTTGAGTCGAGTATGAGTACAAAACCCCGCTTTCAGTTGATATCTTCTCTATACTTTATTTCATTCCTCAACGTCACGGCTCACAAGAGATAGTGAGTCGTCTCAATGATTGAGTGATTGATTGAGTGTAAAGGTCAGGGGAACATAGACGGATTGTGGGACTGCTAAGCTGACAAAATCTTGGCCAAAAGCAGAGGAGGAGCTACTAACTACTGCATGTATGAACTCCCGCGGCTGACATCTCACTTTCAGTGAGTAAAGAGCTAGGCCTGTAATGCGGACAATAGCTGGTATGGAAGAGACCTGATTGGTAGATCTGGCGGCATCACGACGAGGACAACGGAAATGGGGGTGGAATCGCCATGGAAATCACAAGTCTTGACTGTACTGGGGATTCGAATCGAATCCTCGTTTTCCAGATCATCATGGCGAAGTGACATTAAGGCGCTTGACTAAACCGCAGGTTATGAAATTTTCAATCCTGTGAAGCCATGGTGTATCTGGACAGATCCAAGTTGTAGAAACAAGCCAGCCTTGATAATCCATGGAGGAAGATATTCTCATCGACTTGGTTCCGGGGCTTCTGCAGGTCGACCAATCAGGAATAGTCCAGTTCCATTTTTAACCACGAAATGAAGCAATGCGTTAATGAAGCCCAAGTTATTACGGCAAGTCTTGGATGAAGTCGGTTTGATAATAATGAACATATGGCAAAAATGAGGAAAGTGTCGAAAAATCGAATTGGAGGGATCCGCGCCGTCCTTTAATCTACAGCGTCCTTTAATCCTTCCCACACTGCTTTCTTTCTGCGCGCTCCTAGAACTTTGGAAGACACGATCATCTTACGAGACTCTAAGAACTTGCCAGTCACGTGGCTGCACTAGCTAAGAATCTCAGAATATTGAATCTTGACCTGCAGAAGAGAGTTGTGAGAGTAGGAGATCAGAAGGTGAAAGGACAGAAGAGCCCGAGCCCTCAGCGCAGGAATATACTGGGAATGAGAGAAAAGACCTTAAGTCCCAGACCTGAGGGAATCTTCTGTACCTGACTTGCAGCCGACTGATTATAGTATTCATAACGGGGCACTCATACAGAGGCAGTCTGCGTTGCATAAAAAGGCCCTGTGTGCACAGTAAGCTCTGTTGTCGGAACAAATTGCTGTTGAATGAATGATTACTTGTATGTGTCAGTTGTGTGAGTGAGGACGTCGTCCTTACTTACACTTTTAGCCAGCACAAACTAACAAAAAGGATGGGAAATCCAAATCCTTGCTTACGCTACTGTTATGCATGCAAGTGCAGTAGTTGTGCCTGTAACTATCTTTGATTTCACTCAGTCAGCTGACAATAGTTCATGAATCTGATAACGAGGTGGAAGGGATCCTGCTAGAAGCTTAGCTCTACCCACCCTCCGGGGCGAAATTTATAATTATTGCTGGTGAACTAACAGTAGAGGTGGGGGTTCAATCTTGGTATATTCACGTGTATGCAGTTCATCTGATAACTGAATTATTGGAAAAAAAACTCATTGGCAGAAAGGGAAACCAATTTACGGAAGACAAAGAGACCTCGTACACTTTTATGGCAAACTCTCGATTAAACTTGTGACGAAATATTGCACAACACAACTTGGTTACAACAATTTCACGAAATCTTGTATATTTAAGGAGCACATTTGTAAGTAGTGTTGGAATATTATATTGAGGAAGAGAACCCATTTGATTAGTACTATTTTGCACTTGTGAAGACCCATATTCCGCTCATATACATGAATTGTTTATTACCTTCACACTATTGTAGTACACCGTTTCAGTGGGATAGTGGTCGGAGCACCCAAACCTAGTTTTTCCTTTCACTTACAATATAGTGTTCTGTCTAAACCTTCAGGACAAGAAATATTCATCTTCCATTTTCCCCCATGGAACTACATATTCAAATCACCTACTGGACAGAGATTCCCAATCTTCAGCTTTCAGCAAAATTACTAATTCAGGCATTTGAATCTTGTAAGGTCAGCTCGTTTCATTTAAATAGCCAATCGTAATGGAACATTTCTTGCTGAAATAGCGAGCTGGTCATGCGTAAATGTGGAACATGTGGAAGTCTCATCCCCAGGTCTTGAAATTAACAGCTAAGAATTACTAAATATGATGCTTCATACATTTACTCTACATATATCCACCTAGATCTCGCTTCTGCTTACAACCTCGAGTTGTTGAGACCCATGGGGCTTTGTCAGGTCGAATGTAGGAACGTCAGATTCCTTGACTGGCAGTAGAGATACCAAGAGGCTAATGCTTTTCAGTCAATGTAGTCCTCAGCACTACATTGACTGAAAAGTCAATGGTGGTTGGCAAAAATCACTTCGCCCGGTCCAAAAACATATATGTGAACCACATGGTCGTTATCACCATCGACACTCTTGTGGACACAGCTCGAAACGTCGAGCTGTGTCCACAAGAGTGTCGCTATATGTGTTCACAATCTCAATTCTGCCTCAGTTGCCTCAGAGAAAAATCACCTACATCGACCGTAGATAAAATTCTGTGTAGGGAGGAAGGGAATTCAAGGCTTATTCTATATACCTAACTCGGTAAAGCCTTCATGCTTGCCTCGACATGTATGTGGAGGTTCAAGACAGTTCTCCTCATTGTCCCGTATATTTCAACTCAATGTTTGTACCACTCTGCGCGTGGTCTGCAGATCACTCGAAGTCTCGAAGAGTGGTCCAACCCTTTATCCCGCGGTACTTTGTACTCTCCTTTGTGCGCTCTGATCGCACAGGGCATCTTGGGAAATTCCTGAGATTGCTGCGCAATACCGAGGGCCCAGAACAATTCAGTTTTGACGACAGAGTGATGAATGGAAGGTCGTCGTTCTTCTCACTTCACTGGATCTTCTGAATCAGTCTTCCACTGGGACCACTGTCGCCGCCAAATGAACGGTTACTCGGGGCTCTTGGCAGTAGCTGCCGCTGCTGCTGCTGCTGCTGCTGCTTTCGCTGCTGCCGAAAAAGGTATGTGGTTATGGAATCGGGCCAGCACTGTGCAAGGACAGAGTTTGATTGTTCGGCCTTGTATACTACCTTTGCATGACACAGCTACGTGAATAATGAAGTAGAGTATACAATCATTGCTGACATCAGGGCTTCTGCAGTCAAGGATCAGACTGTCCAAGTGACAACATCGTCGAAAACTATGAGATCTGTATGCTCGGAGAAAAGGGACTACGCATACACTGCTGGCTCATGGAGTCCAAGCTGTGCTTTTTGGGAACCCATTCCCATATTTCGTCCTTGTCTCTCGACGTGTTCGACGTTAGCGCTCGCCACGATTCGTGGAATCAATCTGCAAGGCTCAGCACCCCTGCAGGGAGGAGGCAGATTTTCCAGCAGCGATGAAGTCGCAGGTATATAATCGAAGCGAGGCAGAAGAAGCACATGCGTATCAAGTGTGAGGGCACTCCGCGACCAGCTGACCTCCGGTAGATGGTTGTCGGACGAGAGTGGACTCTACATTCAAGCTCATCCCGACATTAACGAAGTATGTATACGGCCTCATCAGGAGGAGCATTCGGTTCCAATGTTGCGCATTTTCAATGCTGGCACGACGAAACACGTCGAAGCTCCACTGCTGAAAGCGTTTTGCACTTATCGTGAGCGCAGATCCTAAGCGCACGCTGAAGACACATAGAACGCACTCTTCGACCGTCCCTAAAACCGTTCTCTGCATCGGTGGATCATTTATCCAGTTCTTTTCAGACATCAGTTAGCCTGCCGAGCTGAACATGCTCAAGTACTTGACTGAAAAGCAAATGATCGATCTTGCACATGACGTGTTTTGCACGACTATTCTAGAGACTCCATGATTTTCACCAATACGGAGGACAGATTTAACTTTTTCGGCCTGAGTACAATGATGCAAATGATCGATCTTGTGCATGACATGTTTCCCCACGAACAATCTAGAGACTCCATGATTTTCACCGAAACAACATAATCTGAGGACAGATTTAACTTTTTCCGCTCGAGTACAATTCCGAGTTGACGCAAATTCTATTCTTCTGTCTGAGACACGCAAGGAATACGGAATCTTGGGTCCTCGGGGGCCTTGGATCTAAAGCACATCCAGAGATTGTGAAATGGATTCACTGAGCCCTTCAGGTCCTTTGAAGGCGGTGATCGAGCAGAAGGCAGAAGAGTATTATCATGGAAAAGGTTCACAATAGTGCTCTGCCAGTTCAGGCTGACAGGCTATTTCACATCTGGAGAGCATTAAGTCCAGACTGTTCATTGAGAGACACGAGAAACAAAAGCTGCTCTCGTCTAGTAAAATATGCCTGCAAATGTGCTCAAGACACCACAACACGCTCGGGAAACGCGGGACAGTACTCAGAAAGTTTCGTGGTACTTCCTTATTGGAGAACTCACAGGCGTTCTCTTTCATCTCCAGCTTCACCTTCCGAGTCCTGACTGCGCGAGGCAAAATAGATGATTGCGTTCAATAGGAGACGAATGTGTGGCAGCAAGAGAAAGAGACTCAAAGAAGGTAAAGCTGCACCACTTGATGAGAAGTCGACTGGACTCCCCAGATTCAGTAATCAGTTCCCCGTCCTTGGGTCTGGCGTTCCTACACACATCGCTGCACCTTCGAATCCACAATTTGTCCACCGATTCAATCTTTTCCGTTCCGCCGGGCTTCTGTTGCTATGCAATTCGGAATGCAATGACCTTCATGCACTCCAACTGAATTCAGCAGTTGCTAAGCATAGCACATGTTAGCAAAGCTGCTTGAGAAAGACAGAAGGTCACCAATTCATTTGACTTCTTGCTGCTTAGTGCAGCAAGAAGCAGCCGGGATCTATTTCCATTCCACGAATTTACCGATGTACCCTTTGTTCCTGATGTGGCACAGGGCTGTGGGTAGGTGATCACACTCATGCTGACGTCACATTGCAGGAGTCGTTCTCAGCAAGTACGTCGCGGGTTTCTTCGACTTTCTTCTTCTGCTCTCGTACTCCGAAGAACTGCAGAACGTCGCCCGAGACCAATTGTAAGAATGGGTGGACCGGTCAAACCGTGAGTGAACTTCGGAACAAACGCCACGCGGACCTGAAAATTAGATATTTTTTTCTAAGATTGTAGCTGTCACAGTACCATATATATAGATATTACTGTGCTTCAAAGTTCGTGTGATATATGATTTAATTAATCTTCCAGTATTTTAAAACTGTAAGTCTTGTATTTTAATACAAGACTCTTTGGTGACCTTACAATAGACGGGTGGAGTGAGAAATCATAGTCTTCCGTGGACGTGCGGTTGTATGGTTCACATTGTCTTATGGAAAATTGCTGTGCCCGGTACGGGTCTGCTATATCGAATGGGCTTTTATGGTTGCGTTTATTGTTCAAAATTCGAGATGTAAATCAGACCAGAGATATGTACGGCCTGTATTGAGGGGAAAGGTGACCGGAAGTATACAGCTGTTGGCTTTCATTGGCTATAATAATTAGTTTTTCTTTTCTGAAGAACGTATTAAGCCATTTCGAGATAGTCTGGTAGGAAGTTCTGCTGCGGCATAAAGCCGAGAGTCATATGGCCACACCAGAATGCTCGACGAACAAAATCGCTGAAAGCTTTATGGTTTTGGTATCCAAGGATAAAAAACACTATGGTCTGATTCATATTGATTAAAATACAACACAAGTTCGGGAAAGCCAGAGCCATCTAGAATTAGCTATTGTAGATGGTCTGTACGGGTCTATTGGATATATGGTGAGGGGTTATTGACACATGTACGATTTCAATTTGTTGTTTGAAACTGAAAGAAAAAATTCAGTACTTCTTTTCTGAAGCGCCTATTATTGTCTTGCAATAAACAGCGTAGAAGCGTTCAGAATGTACAGAGTACAGATACATTTGCAGCTCCCAGGAAATTTTGCTCACCTTCTTCATCATCAAGTTGTGATTCAGTCTCAGAATCAACAGTACAGCTCATCAGGGCTCGCAATCTTCTCTGAGCGATGTCCTTCCTTCTCTGTCCGCATGCACGGGAGAAGGGGGTTATGAGATATCCACCACTACATACAATGATTTTCCCTCTGCCCAGCGAGTGTAGGTGCAATTGATTCACTACCAGGAGTTTAGCAAGAATACTTAAATCTCGGTTTTGCGGTCTTGCTCATCTTGCATTTTCCTTACACCACTTTGGTTCATGCATGTATAAGTCGATGGGGTCTAGATATGCTTCAAGTCTAAGGCAAATGGCTCCTTCAAAGCTAATTCTAGAAAAGACTTACGGTGCGTTGCCTTGGGGCTTCCGATGACCATATACGCTTTTACGATCTTCTTTAAGTCAAATTGATAAAATACAAATTGATGCCTTGGTGAGTTTTGGACTAATGCTGGACAGCGATATGCTGCCGGAGGTGGAATCGTTGATATCTAGACCACGACAAAAATACCTTGTTACAAACCTTAGTTCCGGATCAGAGATCGTGATGAACAGGTTAAATTTTCTTCGTCAGAAGGACTATGCAGTCAGTGTTGAGACCTCTCGGATGACCCTAATGAACATGTCTTCTAATATATAAGCGACATCTGTCTTCAGGAAGACGCATTCCTACTTGTTGAACTCACTTGTCTTATACCCACGCATGGCAGTCTTTATATAATATGATACCACTTCTTATAATTTGGTGGTACACTTTTGGTTTCCTCAACGGAATGCTGGATGATATTTTCATCTGTTTCCTCCAGTTTTATAATCTGACACTTACGAAAGATGAGCATAAATGTATAAAAGTGGAAAGGATTTAATAGTTTTCTTCTCTGCCAGATGAAGTTTATATTGATAAAGATATAATTAAAGTCCGAAAGACAACTCAGCATTTTGCAGATATTTATAAAATCATGACAAATTCTTGGATCTAGTGCCTAGAATTCCAATCAACGCACGTCTTCAAAACAATGAGTGACACTTGGCGGAATGCGCATGTCCAGTAGTTTTTGAAGTTTAGTTTTTGATATATTCGCCCAACTGAATTTAATCTTGCTGATTGAAAAATATTTTATGCTCACAAAGATACCAGACAATAACCTAATGAGAGGTACTTCAAGTGCTGCAAGCTCCATATGCTTTGCCTTTGAGAATGTTTAACACCTCATCACCTTGTCATCATAAAAGTCATCGAGAACGCACTTCTAGTTCTGGATTTTGGTCCTATATTGAATTCGATCTTTTCCCTCGTCACGTGGGTTCGTGTACCAATTTGAACTTGACTAACGGCCGCAACTTACGAGGTCCATGTAATTTTTGCTCTTTTGATACTGCGAAAGTCATTCAACTATATTTCCTTTCGATTATGCCCGACTTCTTAAGCCAAGTTGTGTATGTTTTTCCTGATCTATGATGTTATATGCAAACCTATAAAGCTTCACTTGATCAACTGAATCTTGGGCTTACAACATTTCCTACGCGTAGTTACTTTTCTCTGCAGTACCTCTACTCAAGCGACCAAGAGTACTATATAGTCATGATATTTTTCGATTAATATTCCTCTTGGAACAGAAGCTCTTCATTCTGCAATGCAAATGACAGTGGAGGTGGCCAATGCAATAAGTATGAGCAGATTTCGTTATGCATTATGGATGAGTTTACACGAATCATAACTTAATTAATGTTAGGTATTAGGTATTGCGAAAAGTTGTCATTATTCAGCCGTGTCTAGCGAAAACAAAGTCAAGAATGCTGTAAAAAAAGTGTTTATTTTTGTCATCATTTTTAAAGCCATGAGTAGGATAATAAGACTAGTTTTTCACAACATCACATGTCTTATATATTTATTGAACATTAAGAAATAGTTCTCTTTGGTTATCGGTAGACCTCTCCAGATTAGTTGCATGCCTAAAGTGCCTAATTGTGTCTAAAGTATATTAGACACAAAACCATATAAGATTAGGCATCAACAGACCAAAAAAATCTGAAAACACTCAAAATTGAGTACTTTATTGCTTAATCCTGCGCAAAAGATCATACGTTTTGCATTGGAGATATCCTTTTGAGATGAAAATCAATCAATCACATGTTAAGACATCATTGTGATATTTCAGCATCGAGAAGTCAATCAGTGCAGTGTTGAGGATTGGCGAAATCAAGCCATCAACAAAATCGAGCAGAAGATTGAAACGGCCCGACAAACAAGGCAGTGCCCACGCATTGTTTAAGGAATTGTGATGATCTCGAAAATCAATGGCTTCTTGACAAGGATTTTCCAAATTGGTATCTCATCTTGTTGATATTGGAGGGGGACCAACTAGTTGGGGCGAGCATTATTTTGGATCATGACATGGCTAATATTAAAATCTTTAAGCTTCACAAATTCAAAATTTTATACTGGTGTATAGTCGAGGTCGCTATTGGAGTCTCGTCCATCCCGCATTGCAACACAATCTATAATCGAATCAAAGATGTAAATAATAAGAAACTCAACGTTACGAAGAACTAACAATCAAATTGATTCGATGAGAATGTCAATTGTTATCAAAATAAAAGGATTTAGATATTCAATGCAACCTATGATGTCAAGGTAAGAATCCAATCAATTGTTGCAAATAACATGAGTGGAGTCACAAACATCAATTTCCGCGCATGTGGCTTCACCATAACACAAGTCAATTCTAAGCTTGTACTTTTGAATCAGTTCATCATGTCAACAACATACAGTGGAATTTTCACCGTTCACGATGTGACAATTCTTTGACTTCAAAAGACACATGACTCTCCAAGCACCAGCTTGAGGCGTGGATTCTGTCAAACAATCTCATTCAGTACATCTAACAATTTTAATCTATGTCATTATAAATTTAGGCTCATCTACTTCAGACAAAGAAACAAGCAAACGATGCAAGATTTTTGAGCAAGTGAACCAGTCTCTCATTAAGTTTTGAGATAAATTTATATCACATATGCTTTAAAAACATTGAATGAAATCTCTTTTCAATTCTTTTTTCACATTTTTATTCTTTTTCTTTCTTAATGCTATTGAATTCCTAGTTAACTTACAAGAAAATTCTTAATTTTTCAAATTTTCTATTCATTTATACAAAAAGTACATTATTAGAAATATGAAGGTTTTGATGATGCATGAATTTGATAGCTAGCATGTATAACGTTGTTATGCATTAAATTCTATTACAATGAATCAGATTTATTTGTTCTTTGAAACTCTAAAAGTATGGTTGTAAATGTTAATTCTGCATGATGTGATTATGTACTTTACATGTTATGAGTCAATGATTAATAATTTTTTCATAAATGACAAGTTTTATGGGGAGTCAAAGTTTTCAACTACATCAATATGTTGCTCTTTTAACTCTTTGCTAATTCAGTTTTGGAATTGTATAGAGGTTGACTTTAACTTGCTTGTGAGTAAGTGATGAAGATATGAATTAAACTTAAATACCAAAACTTAATCTTATATACTTTCATCTTGATAGTTTTTATATATATGGTATATAAATCAAGCTCAAAAGATACAAAGTATCAAAAGTATAAAACACAATACAAACCAAACATCTACTAACTAAAAAAAATACTGTAAATATAAATTCCTAGCCAATGTCAAGAGCACTAGAACAATGACTAATTTCATCCTCAATATAACAATCTAAATCAAAAAGCACTAATTGTAGTAAAGAATAAAAATTCTCCACATCTTTTTTATGAACTAGTCTAATCACTTCATAGTTAGTACATGTAACAAACACATGCTCTTCATTTTCAATATTAACTCCGTCACATAATTCACAAATATACCCATTGTACTTCCCCAATTCTAAGCCTATTAGAGCATATGAGATCAAATTCTGTGTCGAGCAATAATTTGATGTAAAATTGTAGAGATACTCACAAGTACGTATTTATGTTCACATTAAATAAGCATAGGATTAACAAAAGGTTGGTAAAATTATATTTTGGTGCTTTACTTGCTCCAAATAATGTTGAGAATTTTTTCTTCTGCCACGGAGT